ATCCGCATCTTTGTAGGACTTTCAGAAGTGAACAGGAGCGCTGACTTGGTGTACTAAAAACTGCAGAACCTGGAGCAAGACACTTCTCCTGGTACGGATACGGTCCATTCTGCTATACTGAGGGAAGCAGCTTCAATCTTAATAACATCGCTTAGCTGGATGTTCTCACATTCGTTAGGCTGAGGCACATAACCCCAAATTTGGAAGCTGGCTCATATCAAACCAATTTTCAAAGGAGGTCGACGCAGGGAAGCGGTCGGTAGCACTTCTCTCTATACACTTAAGAACTATGAAGTCGCTGATATATGGTGGTACAGACGACCCTTTATTATCCATAAACTTCTTTTTACCCCGACGGAATGGTTTCAGAAAAGATCACTCTTCTATAAGCAACCTGCTGACCGTGTGGACAGATTGACAATAATAATAACAATCCTTGATTGCAAGGGAAAGGTTGACGTCATTTACCTTGGCTTTTCAAAGGTCTTTGATAGGATCAACCATATATGTCTTATCGAAATGCCAAAGCGATTAGGTATCAAATCACCTTTAATTAGTTGGCTCACTTCATATCTAAAAAATCGACACTTTAATGTCAGGGTAAACTCCACTTTCTCTTAGGCTATGGAATTTCATATTGGGTTCCTCCAAGGTTCAGTACTAGGACCTCTTCTTTTATTAATTTATATAAACGGAGTTTCACAGCAGGTATCGTCAGATTTATTAATTTTATCTGATGATGTGAAACTCTGGAAAGAAGTACGTAACCAATATGATAAACCGGCACTTCAGGATGCTCTGACTTGTTATCAAAGTTGAGCCGATAACAACGGACTTACCTTTAACACTTCAAAGTGTAAAGCAGTTCATCTAAGACATGTTGCAGACTACGAATACAACTTAGACAACTCTCATCTAGTGGTATCCAAAGTAAAAAGATCTAGGAGTGCTGGTATCGTACGATTTGAAGTCTTGCACCAACTGAGACAAAAATGCCTTTCGAGCAATTTTTGTATTGGCAACGTTGAAGTGCATTTTCGGCCAGTTCGATGGAAGAATTTTCTGCATAATCGTCAGTGGTTTTGTTAATCCCTATTTAGAGTACATATGCATAGTATTTCCCCCTCACTCCAAAAAGGATAAGGATACATTGGAACGTATCCAACGGCGAGCCACGAAATCAGTTTGGGGACTCAAATTCGAGCCTTGCGAAAAGCGCCTCCAATCACTGAACCTTTGCCCATTAGATTACAGGCGTCTTAGTGGTGATCTTCCGATGGCTTACAGTATCTTTACCACCTCTTTATATACCCTTAAACACCTACTTAAGCTTAGTCCCAACACAAACATTAAGAATAACACCCAAGAAGTGAAAACACAACATGAGAAAACGGACTGTATAAGCACCTTATACTTCAGGGTAGTCAAATACTGTAATTCGCTGCCAGCTGAAATAGTCCAAGCTACTTTCCAGGAGTCCTCCAAGAGAAAATGTGACGTATTACTAAAGGCTAAGGACAGTATTCCACTATGATTTACCGTTAAATATACCTAGGTTCTTACCTCGAGGCATTGGCGATCCACTGCTACTAGATACGGAAGCCCATTAAACGAATGATTCTTTTATTCCGTCCAGAACCGATTGAACTATTTTAACCATTCAATGTCAAGATATGAAATGCTTCAAAACAATTTAAAGAAATTATCTGAATGACTTAGAATTCAGTAGTAACCAAATGAGAAACCACCTTTAACACGAAGATATTGCCCACTGTAGAAATTGAAGACACGGATAAAACCTTCACCGTCCCTAACAGTCCCTGTACGGATGTCCAGATTGATGGAAAGTGGATGGCAGTATGGAGAAAAAGAAGTGAAAAGAAAAAAAGCTATAAGCGGTACACATTTGGTTGACAAGTCATTAGTGAACTCTCGTTCTGAGTCATAAAATACAGTACCAAAGTTCGATAGTAAGACAGAACTCCACCTTGGCATGGCTGAGAAGAATTCGATCTCATCGAATAATATTGTGAGTAATTTGCTAAAGTCAAACGATCCTGATTCACAAATTAGACACGCCTATAATTTGGGAAAGGTCAACGAATTTATCCGTAGCATCTTACCAGATAAATCTAAAGCAATTCAAGTCAAAATTCGATGAGAATAGGTAAAAGAACCGACGATAGTGCTGAACTCCGACCATAAAGACTCCTTAAGGTAATCCTACGTTTGGAGGAACAAAGTGATCCTCTGTTAAGTAGCGCTCGTAGTCATGACAGTGTCGACACTCGAGTAAGACCTGATATGTCTCTTGAAGATAGAATAAAAAGGAATACGGCACTGGCTGAACTAGAAAACCGTCGACAAAACGGGGAGGATAATCTCCGATTAGTGGGTTTTCGGATAGTCAGGTATTGGAATCGAATGCTACCAAGGCATGTGTGGATAGGTCGTTCTCCTTAGGAGTTTTACATGCCGATGCTCGTAGTCTAAGAAATACATTATATGAACTAGGAGCATTAGTGGAAAAGTTAGGACCACTCATTGTAGCTGTGACAGAAGCTTGGTTAATCCATGACTTCAACATCATTCCAGAATTATCCGGATACCACTGCCTAAGAAGTGATAGACATAGATGCAGGAAGAGAGGTGGCGTCCTTTTATACATTGCAATAATATAAATATCCGCTCCTCTGTTTGCGAATCCCATAATAGTGGAACTTGTGAAGTCATTAGCTGTGAGCTCACTATCGGATATTGTACATTTGCACTCGGTGTCATCTATCGCAGCCCAATCTGCTTAGCTGATGACTTTGTTTTAAAGCACATTCAGCTATGAAGTGTAAATCACAGATGCTTGATATTAGGAGACTTTAATGTGCCTTACATTGGTTTGACTGAGATGACCACGGAAGGATCTATAAACTTCTTTGATAGTATGTTCCTGGTAACAGTGATGGGGCATGCATTAGTACAACATGTATCTAAACCCACGTTTTGGTGTAAACCAAGGTTCTTCTCTGTTGGACTTGGTAATCACTCATGCGACTGAGGATATTGCCAACTTATATATTCTTCCATTGTTAGTAAATAGTGATTACGCTGTTTTGTCATTCACATTTATAGCCAGTGACATGATATACGATCAGGTTGAGCCTCGCCCAAATTTACGGAGAGCTTACATATCAGCCATTCAGGAGTGTGCTTCCAAGACAGATTGGTCGGTAAATACTAGCTCATCAGTTGAAGAAGCATGGTCTATATTTAAAGACAAGTTTAGTTCAGTCACGTCTTCGTTCATATCATAACTGATACCATGTAGACCGAATAATAGTCTACCATGAATAACTAAACAAGTCAAGAAACTTCTTAGACGTAGGGAAAAGCACTGGAATATGTTCATCTCTACTGGCCTAGAATAATACAAATCCAGTTTTTGTAAGATTAGGAATGCTTGTTAGGCGTTAATTGGCAAGACTAGACAGTCATATGAAAAATAATTGGTTAGGGATTGTAAATATAGTCTGAGACGGTTATTCTCGCATATGAAAAGGCGAACTCAGAAAAGCAATGAAATCCCATCACTTTCGATACAGGAAAATCTGTTAATATTGACAAGGAATGATATCGAAAAACCTGAAGCTTTATCGGAATATTTCAGTAAGGTATTTTCTGTCAGTAATGAGAAACGACCAACTAATAATTGGGAGGGTGGCGGGTTGTTAATGGGCTGTCTTAAGACAGGTTCAGAATCCCAAACCTGATAAGTCTAGAGGTCTCGATGATATTCATTTTAGGATTATAGAAGCCCTATCGGATGTAATTGCTGAACATATAGCCATACTGTTTGATATGTCTCTGCGGCAGTCCAGACTGTCAGGAGACTGGAAAGATGCAATAATTAGTCCGGGGTATAAGGCGAGGAGTAGAGATTTAGTTAGTAACCATCGACCCGTTAGCTCAACCAGTTCAGTTGTAAAACTGATGGAAAAAATTATTCGAATGGCTGCTATAAGCTATGTGGAAGGGCGTCATCTTTTATCCAGGGAATAGCATTGTTTTCGGAAAGTTCTATGATGTTTGACAAATCTGCTCATGACGAGAGATTGGGATGAGGCAAAATACCGAAATGTTCCTGTAGATGTAATTTTCATTGATCTGAGTAAAGCCTTTGATAAAGTCTCCCATTCTGATCTCAAATTAAGACTGGAAAATTTTGGAATTAATTATACGGTCATAGACTGGATAAGTGACTTTCTACATGACAGGAGGCAAAGAGTAAGAGCAAATGGAGCTCTATCGTCTTGGGAACCTGTAAAAAGTGGAGTTCCCTAAGGTACAGTCCTTTTTTAACTTTATGTAAATGGTTTATCAACTGTGGCGAGGTCATCCATTCTTATCTCCGCCGATGACATGAAGCTTTAGAGACCCATATACAGCACGTCAGATACAACAGTAATACAGGAAGATCTCAACTCATTGGTGGCATGGATGGACGAACGGTCACTCGAAGTAAATTCTAACAAGAGTGTGGTGATGCAATTCAATAACTATGATGATTCGTATCCCTACTCATTACGTAGATTCCTGTTATCCAAAGTAATAAACCGTAAAGATTTAAGTCATACTAAGCAACGATTTCAAAACTAAGGTAACTGTAAGGTTGGTGCTGCAAAAGACTACGGTGTATTATGGATTATTCGTAGACCTTTTGGATGACGAATTGATAGATTGTCACACTCGACTTTCGCGAGATCACATTTGGAATATAGGATTCAAGCGTCGAGTCCTTGTTTCAAGTATGAGGTGTATATGCTGGAAGGACTTCAACAACGAGGGACCAAAATGGTAAGAGGTCTCTGTGGCCTATCTTATGAAGACAGACTGAGACAGCTTAACTTATTTCCGTTGTCTTACTCCAGAATGAGGGATGATCTAATATTGAATTATAGTATACTAAACGATGACCTTGGTATTAATATGCCTTATCTTTTCCTTCCGTCTATGACTGTTCATTTGGGAGGACATTCGAAGAAAGTTCTAAAACCGAGATCAAATCGTCTACGTCTAGTGAATTACTGGAATTCTCTGTCAGAACCCATAATATCAGCAGCTTCTTTTAATATATTCAAAACGAGATTGGATCTTCACAGTGTAACAAACTGCAAGGATTAATATAGGTCAATAGACCTCTTATCCTTATTACTGAGGACCGTATCTTCTGGCGGCAATTTCGTTTTGTGTTCAAGGCAGCTGTTAACGTAGCGTATGTGCATGTGTAGAAATATCCATATAAAAGCCACTGTTCCTTTGATATTTTTTATCTGGAGTCTAGTCAAGCCATAATCAAGCTAAAGCTTATATGGTGTTAGCAGTTTAAGCCGTCCTAATTAATGTGAAGAACTGAGTGTTTTATTTACGGATATTTTGGTTCAAGGAGGGTGAAAATAACCTAATTGTAGGCTTCAACAATGAGCGCTGTTTACCTCGTGGATAAACTAGAAAATCCACTTACAAATTTAATATTGGTATTCAGTAACACCAATAAGCTGTTAGTGCATAGATTTGACGTTCCTACGATCTGTTTAGATATTTCTGTAATGCTTTCGCCCATACTTTTTTTTATGTCTTTAAGGCCTTAAGTGTTCCAGTAATAATTTTTCGAAGTGTAGGCTTCGAAACAACATCTGTTATATCGATGTAGAAACCTTATCTTCGTTTGCTTTATGGGACACATCCACATGGTAATTAAGAATAAAAAGTCGAAATCGGTTGGGACTATAATTTGTGGAAGACTTTTGAGTGGGGCTGAAAAGACCTTGAAAATGCTCATCTACATGCTACGGCTAAATGAGGGTTATAGACCAGTGTGAGAAATTCTGATTAATATTTACCGTTGGTAGTTAGGGTTAGGGATTAGGTTTAGGGTTTTCATCACTAACTTACATAAGCTATAATGTCAAAACTATTTAGCCAAGTGAATAAATTAGCTCGTAAGTCTGGTTCGTCCATAAATTATAGTCTCGCCGCGTAAATGGTTTAAGTCAATAAAAGCTCCTTCATACATCCAGTTTATAGGCGCCACGTATGTTCATCACTCTTTAATTAGTCTTTATGGAAATTTACCTTAAAAACACTTTCAGATTTCACCAGCCAGTGATGATGAAAAGACGGTTTGTGCAGAAAACCAAACTGTATTTCGTACTTTGAATATATAATGTGGAATTCCATGACAATACTATGCCAGTCAGCGCCCAACGTAGAATCTGGCACTTGTAAACCAGTCAGATTTGTCGTGTTACATTAACACAGTAAAATATAATCAGTAAGACAAGCCCTAAAATAGTAGGAGTAATGTGTCCGTAATGATGGAAAAGACTAGGTATGATATAATTCCAAAGGAGAGAATGGATTCATGCATAAAGAAGTGCTAGATAACTTTAAATCTAAGGGAAGACAAGAAGTGAATAAATCTCCCCAACTAATTGCAAGCCACATCATATTCTAAATGTTTCTCCCTAAACATCGTTTTTTCCCAAGAACTAAGTATTAATCAATAGTCTAACCTTCTTTACTAATCCAATTATTGGAAACATATGTACTTATGGCTAATTCTCTTGACGTCCTTACTTGATATGAGATCTGAACAAAGCAATAGGCACTCATCACAAATCGAAAAAGGTAGTGCTCTCACATTTCCATGATTTCACAACTCGTTAGAGAATATCACGAGGTCCTAAACTGCCTCTATCGTAAACCTCATTAGGTTTGGATAAGCCGAGCGCGTAGTAATAAATAATTCCAGCGAAGTGAGCCTTGCATAAATAAAAATTATTACCTCAGTGACTTTTTATGTCAAACTGGTGGTCGTTGCCCGGTCAAATATTTTTATCATATGTGACTATTTGTTTTTCACTATGAACACACAAGTTAATGTATAGGAACTTAGTACCACAAATGAGAATAGCAACGCAGAACGTCGGGTAATATTGTGCTTATTTTAACGACTACGTATTTTCGTGGTTTATGACCAAAATATGGTTGTCGCGAGGTTATAATGCCTCGAATTCCGCACATTCTCAACAACTCTATTTTAAATCAAGACAGTTTATATAAAAACCTTGAAAGTCTTAAGTTGTAATGTCTTATATTTTACAGGAGTAATTGTTTCTACAATGGATCTTGTCAAAGCAGAAATAGCAAGGCAACGTGAGAAGCTAGTTAGCAGCGGATTGGTATGTATAATAATCCCGGTTTTTGTCGTAATTTAGGTAAATAGTGTGAAAAAAAGTTCTTTAAGCGTTCACTATTAAAACAAAAGGAAGAAGAGGAATATTTCAGCAAATCCAAACGCATCAAAGAACAAGCGAATAACAATGAAGATTATAATTTTAGGACTAAGGTGTGCGTCTATTTCCGAGGGGATAATGTTCTTGATAGACGGAGGAAGAGGATCTCTTGTTGAAAAAGTTCGAAGAAAGAAGTCGGGAAGAAAGAGAAAAAGGGAAGCTTATGCCTCGTAAAGAAGTAATTTTGTGCGTCCTTCCGACACTTCGTTTTCAGGTTATTCGTCTTCTAAGGGAACGTAATCAACCCATACGATTATTTGGTGAAAGTGATTATGACACTTTCCAACGGTTGAAAAGGGTCCAACTTTTAGAACCTGAATCAAAAGGATTGCGCAATGATCTAATTGCAGCACTAGATAAGGTAGTTTATTAGATCTCCTATTATTGTTGTTAGTTGGATGATGCTGAGGATGAAGAGTTTTACACCTCAGGTCGTGGAAAATCAGCTTCCGAATCTCAGTCTGTTGATAGCTCATCAACCTCCTCTACCTTGGATGTAAAAACAAAAGAAAATGTATTAACAGAAGAAGAACTTGAGAAGATAAAGATAGATTTAGCCCGTTATGTCACCATGAAAGAGGGTACTGCTACTGATGACGCAACGACTGCAGTTGTTACCATTAGTAAACTTGCCCCAGATATTGTATGTACCAATGACTTTGACGAGGGGTTTCACGATCAAGTGATCGACCACACCCTTCGCTATCTGAAGGTGAGCTTCTCAACCTTTAATAACCTTATATTTTCCTAAACATTTTTATCAGTTTGAATGATGTTTCACTAATGATAAATCCACTGTACTTTTAAAAACTTAATAAAAACGAACCCAATCTTGTGGCATGCAGTGTATGATGAAATGTTCGGCCCGGCTCTTCAAGCGTAACCTTACCAGATTCCTTATTGTTTATGGTTTTGAGTTTTCATGAAGCTTTTCCATGGTCAACATGTGGTTGTGAATTATGCCTTGTGTTGGATGAATAAAAGTCATTTTACCAATGTGCTTGACATAATGTTTCTCTGCAAACCAAATTGAGCATTATTCGTATATTGTTAGTTCAAATTCCAATTCTATTAAAAATAGGTGATGAATGAAAATGTTGGTCAAAGTAACAGGCCAGCTGTTGGAAATAATTATGGAGCGAAATAACTGACAAAAATTGAACTCATTGATAACTCTTATTCACTCAAGACACCCGCTTCAGGATTTACCCCAAGCTTTTTAACTTTAAGTTTAAATATGTGGTAAATGACCTTTCGTTATCAAGTCGGTTTATCCAACCAGAACACAGTACACACAAAACAAGCTCTTAAGAACTCTGAAGGTTTCAGTTGTGACAAAACAAATAAAAGCTCATAATCATATTACTGTTGGTCAGATTATGCGGTAAATACAGAGACTAAAAGAAGGTAACGTCCTGTTTTCACTCTCCGAAATACAGCAGTGACAAATATATCAGATTTTATTGGTAAAGTATATTCAATGTATGGAAGAAATAGAAGAAAACGAAGAATACGAGGAAAGCTAAAATTGGTAATGTTTTACGAATGTTACCGCAGAGGTAGCTGTCGTAACAGATAGATAACTGACCAATATCTGGTCTCAAATTAATTGCATGTTCAATAACCTACTTATTTCACTGCGTGAACATCGTACGTTACATAATTTTTGGTCAGTTTCATATTGTACCGTAAGTTTTTACATAAGAAAGTGTTTCATTACTCTTACAAGACGAAGAACATTGCGATTTTGGTGGTTAACTATTTAGTCTTTTTGTCTGTTATTTGTTTGAAGACTTATTGAGTGTAACGAACGAGCAGGCTCAAACTTGTAAATAAATATCACTCATAATATCATTCAAATAGTTATTTTGTTAGTGTTCCATCATTTTAAGCGTGTATTTGTTATTATAACACTTCAGAACTGTAAGTCATTATAGACAAACCGCCAACATCTATTCACAGAAGTAAAACGACTAATCGGTGTTTAAATAATCTTTATATCATAAACATAGACTCTAACCTTGTTCAACATTTATATCCAAATGTTAGGGAGCCCCCAAATGCCCTGGTACGGCCGAGAGTGGGGAGAGTCCACTCTCCCTCTCGAAATGCTCTCACATGGCCAGCGAATATATAGCCTCTGCCAGGGAAGTCCTACTCACTGCCTTCTCGTGGCGGGGGTGTTGTTTACGAAAGTGAGAGGACGAAAAGCGAATGTCTGGCGCTTTAGTGAGTGCTTCCACCGATTACGAATACTGAAGCAGTCTTTCTGAAACCACGTACGCCGTTCAAGCTGGCTTCCTTCAACGTTCGCACACTAATGCAGATCAGACAACAGATAGGGCTGGCTATGTCTTTGGAAGGTCTTAATGTTGATGTTTGTTGTCTATCCGAGACCCGTATTCAAGACTCTAGTGAAGTACTACAAATTCGCTCTCCATCTGTCGCTTCGAAAAGCTTGTTTCACGTGCGCTTATCCGGGGACTCTGTGGCATCTTCGTCTGGTCTTGCAGGCGTTGGTGTTGCACTAAGCGCTAGAGCTGAGGCAGCACTAATCGATTGGATCCCCATTAACAGTCGGTTATGTGCTGTTAGATTAGAAAGTTCCATCAAAGTGAGAAGAAATCGGCGTGAGAAACGGTGTCTTTTCGTCATCTCCGCCTATGCCCCGACAGATTGCAGCCCGGATGCAATCAAGGATGAGTTTTACCATCAGTTAACAGTTCTTCTCCAGAAAGCGCGTTCGACAGATATTGTAGTACTAGCCGGAGACTTGAATGCCCAGGTCGGGCGTCTAGGCACAGAAGAGAGTCGTTTAGGTGGCTAGTGGGGACTTGTTGGTCGCAGGACAGATAACGGGGACCGTTTGCTGCAACTGTGCACAGACCACAACCTGTTTCTGGCCAGCACTAACTTCCGGCACAGTCATCGCCGGTGTGTCACCTGGCGTCCTCCCTCTGCATCCCAAGCCTGGACTCAGATTGATCACATCGCGATCAGCTACCGCTGGCGTGGTTGTGTACAAGACTGCCGCTCCTTTTGGACTACCTGTCTGGAGTCTGATCATGCCCTGGTCTGCGCCAATCTCACCTTACTTTTCAGTGGCCGAAGGATTGACCACCACCAACGGATCGATGTTAGTAAACTGGCAGCAACATCTGTTGCAGGTAAGTATCGAGCGGAGCTAACCTCTAGGCTAGCTACCATTCCACCGAAAAGTATAGATGAGCATTGGTTGCATCTTCACGACGCCATGAAAATGGCGAGTAAAGCCGCTTGCGGCTTCGCGAAACGTCCCGCTTACAAGCACTAGGTTTCTTCTGGTTCCTTACAACTGATGGAAGCCCGTCGGTCTACTCCGTATGACCGTGAGTTTGACCACAAACGAAGGCTGTTACGTAATGAAATTGGACAAAGCTTGCGTAAGAACCGAGAAGCCTGGTGGTCGGAGCGTGCTAATGAGATGGAAGCAGCAGCTGCATCTGGTAACTGCCGGAAGCTCTTCCAACTCATCCCAGCCACTGGCAGCAAGAATTCTGGTGTGAGTGAAACAATCTACGAGGATGACGGGATGCCAATCACTAACATCTCTCGACGTCTTGGACGATGGGCTGAATTTTTCGAAGGGCACCTTTGGCGCCTTCGTGATGTTAGTCTGGCTGTAAAAGGTCGGATCTACAACGCGTCGGTGAGAGCAGTTTTGCTTTATGCTTGTGAAACCTGGCCTCTCCGAGTTCAGGATGTTAGACGACTCTCTGTGTTCGATCATCGTTGTCTCCGAAGGATTGCTGACATACAGTGGCAACACCATGTTAGTAATGCAGAGGTTCGGCATCGTGTGTTCGGGCGCAGAGACGATAATTCAATTGGTGTCACCATCTTGAAACACCGACTTCGGTGGCTTGGACATGTTTTACGAATGTCGTCCCAGAGACTTCCACGCCGTGCATTATTTGCCGACTCTGGGACTGGTTGGAGAAAGCGGAGAGGAGGTCAGTGTATGACATGGTGTCTTGGCATGAAAGAAAGCTGGAAAGGGCTAGCTTTTGTTGGTCCTTCACGACTCCCTGGCTGGGGTCCGTGAGATGGTGCAACACAGTGGCTAGAGACGTTATCAGATATGGCTCAGAATAGAAGCCAGTGGCGATCCTGCTGCAACCTTCTTTTACTTTCTACATAAAGAGTGGCTATAACTTTCTTAACTGAAAGAGTCTTCTGGTTGTACATTTCAGTCCGCCTTATCTTTTCATCCCTTCTCTTCCTACTTTCATTATTTTGTGTGGCGCATATGTACCTGGTGCCCTTTTGTACCAATATATATGTGTTTAAATAAATAAATAAAATAGAGATTTTCTACAATTTACTTATTTAATCTATGGAATTATTTGCATTACATCAATAGTATGCAGCCTCTAGCATCTTTTTTAGTAGCTCAGGTGTAGATGTCACTTCATTAAATGATTAATGAGTTTAGTAACTAGTCGTTAATACCACATGTCTTATGTTCTCAACAATTATTATGGAAATAGTTTCTTCCCATTCTTCCCATTTTATCACAAAAAAGTAAGCTGGTTAACCGTAGAAACTAATGGCATACAATACGATTGGATAGTGATTGACTATTGACTCTTGTAATCATTCGTAAAAACATTTCGAGCTGAGAATTAGATTGCGAATTGTTGTGATTATATAGCGACAGTGAATCACTAAATCTGGGTCCAGGAGCAGCCTAAGTTTTATGGCTATGGATGTCACTGGGGAGTTTTTACTGACTCAGCTGCACAAAAATAAATAAATAATTTTGTTTCCACTCATTTCCATTTTGTTTGTGCCCTAATGCCTTTTATTTTCGTAACTTCACGAAATGTTACAAGTTTAAATGTACAGTTGTAAGGTTTTGTGTTCTACCAAATAAATCTGTATATTTCTGTCTTTTCCATTTATGTTGAGTCGTATATACCCGCCTAGTTTTTTTGAGTAGTAAATTACATTGTGTGTGGTTAAAGAAGACCTAACTGCATATAATTGGTTGCGAGTTCCTATTCTCACCTACTTACTAAGTGCCAGCTACCGGTCTACAAAAATGATCATATGCCAAGCATTCCACGGTCAGTATATATATGCATGCTGAAGTCATCGGTGTCTTAAATCTGTTTAAAAAATTAGTTTAGATAAGTATGAAGACATCACTTTTAGCCTAATTAATCATATTTAATGAAAGTAAGATTTGGTTAATAACGAGTCGGTTCACAATGCGATCTTTTCTTGATTATAAAAGCTAGCAATAATCTACGTATTCCTTATAATTTTTTTGTAGAAGATTATTTTTTTTATACAGTTGAGATCATGACTCATGATCTCAACTATATATAACAAAATTACTTAAATCTCCACAAAACCCCCTTCTGATAAATGATTATTTATTCGAACTTTCTCATTTTTGCATACTTATTCAATAACATGATAGTTTGTTACATTGCAAACTAATTTTTTTCGGTTAGTTCCTTTTGTCAAAATGGGGTCATGCTTTGAATACCAGGACTAAAGAAGAAAAACTATCGTATTCTGGAAAAATGGCCAGTGCAACATATACACAAACAGTAGAGTATATTAAACCACTCCTTCGTACACTTCAGAATAATGTAAGTCATTTCATTCCTTCATTACTAATATCAAATTCGTTTTAGCGTTGCAAAGATGATATTTTGAATTCCTTGGTTAAAATCATGGTTTTGATGATTGATCGGAACTACCTAAAGGTTAGTTGGGCTGTCTTTCTGCTTTTTATGTTTTATAAAATACATGAGCAATTATTAGGTGTTTTTTTCCTGGATTGTGATGAAATAAACTGATATCAGGTCGATATATCTGCATACTAGTGTTTTTCCTTCTTACTGAATAATTATTGATCTTGATCACACTAATTCCATAAAATAACTTTTACTCCATGTCATTTTATTTTCTTAGGTTTCATCCACTTGTATTATATTTCATCTCGACCGTAGCTGCTACTTTAACATGTTGGTCGGGCTTGCCCATCACGATGGCTCAACCGAGTTATACTGGCTAAAACGCATATCTTTTACGTTTTGCTATGTCAGCGAGGTTGGTTGGAGAACTGTAAGACCATAAGCAACAACTTAAGGTTCGAGGTTGAAGTTGTACTTCTGACTGTGGAGGGATGTGACAGCAGTGAGATGTTTACCTCAGGCAACCGGCATCTCCAGCAATGCTGCCTTCTCACAAAGGGAGGAGAGGGTTAGAAATGGTCGTCCCTAAAAATATCACACCTCACCTTACCCCACAGATTTCCGTCTCCGAAAATGAGATCATCTGAAGTGCGGAGCTAACTCATCGAAAACTTCTTATAAAAATGCTGTGGGCGACCAGCCTCAAGCAGTTGTCCCTTGAACTCTGCGGTCACGCTCTCAGGTCCCTAGGGCCGCCACTAATCCAGCTTTTTAAAATCCCTCAAGAATAAATGTCCTTCCACGGTTTGTGTAACTGGGAAGTGATGACCACTCTCATGCCTCTACCACCACCTGAGATTAATTAATTAATTAGGTATCTTAAATCGGGTCGTCTAGAAATCCATTTTTTCAAATAATTTGTTTGGTCTATGTTCAGTAGACTTGTATGCATTCTTTAAAAGTATCAGCTGTACGGAAATTATTTGGTAGAATATAGTTTCAGGGAATTTGTGTTTTTCAATATATGTAAAGATAAAGAAATATCGAGTCTGTAAATGTGCATATTTACCATAAATTTCGCGATTTCATTCAAAATAACAGTTGAAAAATTAACAGAATTACGAGAATAGTTATGATTTTTCCATAAGATAAATATATTTCTTACTGTTAATCCATCAAGGTCCAAAGAGCGAATACTTTGTGACAAAACGACGTAAAAGTGACCCTCATTTACAAGACCTTTCACATTTCTAGTTGAGTGCTGTAGCTAATACTAATATTCAAAAATTAGTGCTTCGACTAACACGTGCTACGTTGACACGGTAGCTGGAATTGCCTATTGTGATGACTCAACCGAATTTTACTGACCAAAACGCATATTTTTTATGTCTTACCATGTCAGCGAGGTTGTTAGGAGAACTGTAAGACTATAAGCAACAACTTAAGGTCTGAGGTTGAAGTTGTACTGTGGTGTGATCTACTTATATCCATATAAGTAGTATATGGTGTGGGTCAGACATAGAATGTATTTTCGCAGAAGACCGATGAGGAAAGAACTGAAATGAAGCGCAATCGTTTGGAAAATGCATGAACAATGGAATTATTGAAGAAACAGTGAAGATTGAAACAATTGATTGTTAATTTGCAAATTGACTGTTCATTCTTTGGTAATCAGAATTTACTGAGATAGTCTGTAATCTTTGCTTAAATACATTCGATTGTCCCCAACCGGTGTTTTGTTCACTACATTTGGTGTCGCTGCCAACCAGGAGGAGGAAGGGTGCTGTTCTGCGGACGCCGCTGCGGGTCTGGAGTGGAGGTGCTTGTTGGGGCAGTCTGGTGCAGAGAGTTGGCGTCGAGTGGAGTGTTCTGGCGGGAGGCGTTGGCTGTAGCAGGTGCTGTCGACGGAGAGAAGCAGTGGGACGTGCGGCTGCTGGGCGGACATCGGATGTAGATGGCTCAGCAGGCCGGTGGAGTACGGGTGTTGAACGTCCCAGGTGCCGGGTGGATGCGGATGTTGGTGCCCCGGCAGGTCGACGGAGCTATGGAGTTCAGCGCGCCGCAGACTCGACATTCTGACGGAGAGTTTGGCACAGACTGCAGTGGAAGAAGATAGTGGCACGGCGAGCAGAACCACCGCATGAACGAATGCTTTAAAGGGGGGACGAGTGTGGTGTGATCTACTTATATCCATATAAGTAGTATATGGTGTGGGTCAGACATAGAATGTATTTTCGCAGAAGACCGATGAGGAAAGAACTGAAATGAAGCGCAATCGTTTGGAAAATGCATGAACAATGGAATTATTGAAGAAACAGTGAAGATTGAAACAATTGATTGTTAATTTGCAAATTGACTGTTCATTCTTTGGTAATCAGAATTTACTGAGATAGTCTGTAATCTTTGCTTAAATACATTCGATTGTCCCCAACCGGTGTTTTGTTCACTACAGTACTTCTTTTTCAAATCCCTCAAGAATAAATGTCCTTCCACGGTTTGTGCAACTGGGAAGTGATGACCACTCTCATGTCTCTACTACCACCTGAGATCATCTTGTTGACGATCGAATCGCTCTCCCATCTCTTAATAATTTTTCCATCCCGTGACTAACCGCTTCTGATTTATCTGTATCACCACCCACCACCAATGTTAACGTTTTGAGTTCACGAAATATTATTTCCGGTCTCCTAAAACCGCGCTCGAAACTGTGTGTTAAAGCTTTTAATGTTCGAACGCTGTGTCAGATCGGAACACAGGCTTTTTTGACTAGGACTCTAGAATGTCATGCCATCGACATATGCTGCGTTTTCAAAACGCGGATACAGGAACCAAGTACAGCGTTGTAACAGCCGGATTTCTCATCTACACGAATGGGGGCGTTAATTTGCATAAGACGAATATCTGCACTAAATTCCCTCCAAGTGTCTATTCTACAGGACTTCAGCACAACTCAGATCAAGAACACGTGATTAACCCAACTAAAACGTAAATATATTTGCACGCCAAAAGCCGACAACAATCCGTCAACAATTACATTAATAATAAGGGTAAGAGAATATATAACTCATCGGTGGCAAACTGTCATCGGAATTGGTTACTTCAAGTAGTGTTCGTCAGGACTGTCTATTTTCTTCAGTTTTATTTAACTTCTTCATAGACATACTTTGAGAGATAACACTTTCATCGTCTGACTTTTCAGGAGTTGATCTTGTAACAGGAGATTTACTTGTTGTCATGAGCTGCGCAGATGATATGATTCTGTGTGTCGAAGACGCTGGCAAAATGCAAAGTTTTCTGATCACCTTAAGCAACAATGCAAGCATGTTTAGGATGCGGTCCTCTTACCTCAGATGTAAAATATTACTACAGGATTGACTTGCGACATCGTCTGAATGAGTGGTAGGGACTGAAGTAGTTGAACACATCAACCGCTTCACTTCTCTCGGGAGTCTCATGAGTGCTGATGGTCTGGTGTCTGACGAAATCCCGACATGGATTCAGGAGGCTCGATTGGCTTTTTCCGACTTGCGTCACTTGTGGCGTAGGCGAGGGATCCGTCTTCTAACAAGAGGGGGAGTTTACTGTGCAGCCGTTTTCTCCGTTCTATTTAATGGATGTGAAATATGGCCATTAATAATAGAGGATGTTCGTAGGTTACTGGTATTCGGTCATAAGTGTCTACGAGGCATTGGTCGAGTATTCTGGGACCACGGAATAAGCAATGCCCGGTTTAGGAATATAATACTAGGTAAAGATGGGTAATCGACTGGTGAGGTAGTAAATCTTCATCAAGTGAATTGGTTGGGATATGTGTTACGTATGCCCGACCACCTCTTATCTCGACAGGCGATGTTTTCGAGCGCAGGATCATGCTGAAAGAAAGCTAGTGGCCATCAAACCAAAACGCAAAGTGATATTTCTTATAACGAATGTTATAATGTTATTACTACCTCTATTATTCTGGGATTTGCCTTGACAATTATAATTTTGTTTGCTAATGGGGTATGGCAACTTGAACTGGTGTACTTACGTTTTACTTAGTGACTTACTGATTATGTTTCACAAGATGGTAGGAGACAAATCTTACACCTGTAATCCCTCGTGGAGGAGCATAGGCCGCACATTAGTATTCTCCATTCAACCCTGTCCTGGGAAATCCTTTCCAGTTGTTATTCATCTTTTTCATGTCTGCTTCAATCTCCCGGCGTAATGTGTTCTTTGGCCTTCCTCTTTTCCGCTTCCCTTCCGGATTCCAAGTTAGGGCTTGCCTCTTGATGCAGTTTGGTGATTTCCTCAATATATGTCCGACCCACTTCCAACATCTTTTCCTAATTTCCTCTTTAGCTGTCCTCTTCCATAAAACGCTGTTGCTGATATTATACGACCAGTGAATGTTGAGTAGTTTGCGTAGACAACTGTTCATAAATACTTGTACCTTCTTGACGATGGATGTAGTAGTTCTCCACGTTTCAGCTCCGTACTTATGACTGTCTTGACGTTCTTATTGAAGATTCTCACTTTGAAATTAGCTGAAAGTTGTTCTGAGTTCCATATGTTCTTCAATTGTAGAAATGCGATCCTTGCTTTGCCAATTCTCGCCTTTACATCTGCATCAGATCCTCCTTGTTCATCAATGATTCTTCCCACATACGTAAATGTTTCCACCTCTTCCAGAGTTTCTCCATCAAGTGTGATTGGGTTGGTGTTCTCTGTGTTGTATTTGAGGATCTTGCTTTTTTGTTTGTGTATGTTGGGGCCTATTGATGCAGAGGCTGCTGCTACATTTTTTGTCTTCGTCTGTATTTGCTAGTGTGTATGAGATAGGAGGGCTAAGTCATCTGCAAAGTCCGAATCGTCTGATTGATTCTTAGATGTCCGTTGTATTCCTTGCATCCCCTCACATGTCGAGGTCTCCATAATCCAGCCAATCACCAGAAGAAAGAGAAAGAGGGAGAGTCGGTAACCTTGTCTGACTCCTGTCCTTACTGGAAATGCATCTGTCAACTGTCCTCCATGCATGACTTCGTACTGTAGTCCGTCGTATGAGTTCCGGATAATGTTGACACTCTTTTCAGGAACTCCATAGTGTCATATAAGGTTCTATGAGGTTCTTCTATCCACACTGTCAAACGCCTTCTCATAGCCAAGGAAGTTGATGTATAGTGATGAGTTCCACTCAACCGATTGTTCGATGACGATCCGTAGTGTCTCAATTTGGTCTGTGCATGACCGATTCTTACGGAATCCAGTCTGTTGATCTCGAAGTTGAGCGTCTACTGCGTCTTTCATCCGGTTCAGCAAAACTCTGTTGAAAACTTTTCCTGGTACTGACAACAAACTGATCTTTCTGTAACTCTCCCATTAGGAGACAAATCTATCTAACAGTAATCTGTTTCCAACATTTATGATACAGTTGAAGCATTGTGTATAACTGAATTATTCTGATAATGTAGTGGTGAAGATTATCACATCTTTCAAAACTTGCAGCTTATTATCATTTATGTTTTCATTTCATAAACTAATAATTACCACATTAATGTATTTGTGACTAAATATCTATGTTCTACCAATTCGTCTGGTTTTGAAATGATATTCATTGTGTGACGATGACTTGTTCTTGCTTGTTCAAAAATAATGATAATATTCACCTTATCACATACAATAAGTTTGGTCACAGTTAAGAATTCTTATCATATTGCGTGCAATACGGCAAATATTCGAATAATTATGCAAAAGACATTTTCAACGGTTATCGTCTTTTAGTCGTATTTACTCACGAGATTTATGATCAGTTTAGGTCTTATGGAGTTTTTTCATCGCATTCTATATTTGACAAATGAGTTCCAGTGTATTCGGGCCTCATCCCTACAAAGTACAGGCAGTTAAAAAATACGAACCGCCGTGATGGTTTCTCCTGAATTTCGCTGCATTTAGCTTTATGGTAGGTTGTAAGCTTTTTACAGGAGCGCTTAGTTGGATTAAGTAGTTAAAATACATAATTATCTAGATAAACCTGAAACAAGAAATTAGTTGTCTCTGACTTGATTAGGTCGCTAAAAGGCCTATAGAGCTTTCTAACTTCATAATCCATGTACGATGGGTGTCTACTACTGTTAGTTTTCGGTGGTAGCCAAAGTTTTGTTTTCTAAACAGACTATTCAGTCTATTATGCCAAATAACGTACTTAATCTCTTTTTATCCTTTTAAATATGTTTTATTTACGTTTTCGTGTGTTGTTCATCGCAGTATGAATTCAAATTGTTCAATTAATCTTTATATATTCTCCAGGCTTGGATGAATTTTTTCTATGGAGAGATGAATGTCCGTATGATGATTCTTATTCAGATTTATCTGTTTTCTTTTGTAGGCCAATGATGCTTATTTAGAATTAGCTATTGGAAATGCTCCTTGGCCGTTAGGTGTCACAAATCACGGTATCCACTCACGTACTGCGCAAGAAAAAATCTATGCCAAAAATGTAGCACACGTTCTGAACGATGAAACACAACGTAAATATATTCAAGCTATAAAAAGACTAATGACACAATGCCAAAAGTTTTTCCCATCAGATCCTTCAAAGTCTGTCAATTACATGGGCACTGTGGGATAATTTACCATATTTCAAGTTTCACTCTTTTAGTGTACATAAACTGATTTTTTCATTTAGTAAAGTTGTTTACTGCATGTAAATATGACTAGTATAAATTTTGGAGAATTATTAATATTCATGTTCAGACTTCGTCACGTAGTTCTTCTACAAAAGTTTTTATTATTTGAAAGTCTTTCATGTTATGGTGCGGTATCTTGTTGATTGATAAGGGGACAGTTGTAATAAATTTGAAAGCTTGATATGATTATCCACCTAGTTTCTCGAACTTTTTTATGAAGAGTTCGAAACATATGATAACATGGAAAACCATTGTGTAGTGAAATATAGAACCAATAGTATCCCGAGTAATTAGTCCATTTTATTTTCACTTTAGGCATTTGTAAGATAATAATATATTTAACTTCTATTGTTGTGGTCAATACCATCGCCACCATCACTAATGACTCTATAAACTAGTTCTGAGTAAGATACCAGAGAGTTGTTTCTCACAAACACGTTAGAAAAGTAATCCAGGTATGCAGTCAGAAAAATGTTTGTCAATAACTGATCAATTATCTAGTTGAATGTTAGATTCGGTTCCTAAGCCCTTCTAGTAACCCCCCAGGCTAAATCTACACGGCGACTTGAACACGAGAGAAAAGACGCGAAATATGGAAGTGACGCTTTGTTGCAAAGGTTTCTTTATGTACAGAAAATCTAAGGTATTTATAGTATTCTAGATGACCTGGGCTTCCGGAAGTTTCTGGAACTCTACTAAACATAGTAGCTGTATGGATAATCATCCGAACAGAAACACGGCATGTAACTTTCAATTTCCTAGATGTTTGTACCAAAACTTCTGTTGAATGCTGGTTGGTTAAGATGTTTTTAGGCGATTTCAGAGCCTTTTTGGCCTTTTTCTGGATCTCCCCAGCACCTCTCCTTCAAAAAAACAAGACTTCTTCGGGTCTACTTGCAACTTGATAACTGGTTTCCTGCGGCGTTCAGACTTTCTTGGTATTCAGCATCTATGAGTGTCTGTTGGGATTCTTGCTATCAGAGTATCTGTAATTATCTCCAGCGGAAGACTCACTCGACTGTCTACCGTGTTTAGCGTCTGTTTTTCTCTGTGTATTTGATTAGTGTGTCTAATCCACGTCTAAAAAGTCCCACACACTTAGTACAGAACATTTCCTATTCTCTTTTCAATGACTTCCAGTTCTTAACGATTTTTCCAAATGTATGACTTAATGATAACTTTATCACCCACGTTAAAACTTCTGATGTTATGGTTTCGTCTGCATCCATCTACTCGTTTAGGTGGCAACATGACGCCGAATACTTCCCCTGAAAATAGCTTCAACAGAGGACTTTCCATCTGGGACGATAGGGTTACGCGTAGTTTTATCAGCTGTTAAGAATTTTAAAGTTGCCCGACTTGTCCCTTCGTATCCCCTCTCAGTAGTGCTCTTTTAAATGTGTCAGTGAAGCGCTCTGCGTGTCCACTCGATTGATGGTACCAGGACAATGAGCGTATGTGTGTAATTCCGTTAATGTTTCAGAATTGCTCGAATGGTTCTGCAGTGAATTGTGATCCGTTATCGGTCACTAAAGTCTCCACAACTGCAAAGCAGCTCAACAATTCAGATTACTGGCTGTGCAATTTGCCTCGGCAAGGATTTGTGGCCATTCCATAAGTGCATCTACCATGATTGAAAACATTCTTCCTCATACTGGGCCGGCAAAATCTGCGTGCAGTCTCACCCAGGGACAATTAGGTTTTTTCCATTGTTGTGGTCCACACTTCTTTGGACTTTCGGCTGCTTGCAGACACGACGAACAATTACGGCATCTAGTTTCAATATCTTGACCCATTGTAGGTCACTAAGCATAGCTTCGAGCCAACGGTTTCACCTTATTGATACCGGGTTGGCTGCTGTGGAATTGTTTCAGAACCTTGTGGCGTAATGTTTTTGGAACAACAGTTCTGCCGCCAAACATCATACATGAATTGACAATCATGAGTGAGCCCCACCGGTGAAGATATAGTAAGCAGTTCTCTTTGGAAACGACGGTTCGGCCACTTAGTGAGAAGCTAACTTCTCTTAATATCTTGTCATTTTCCGTGGCTTCTTTGATAGCTTTGAAAGTAACTGGTAAACCGTCGACTGCGTCTTCCAATACCCGATGTACTTCTGTTTCCATCTCAGTCGCTACCACCAAAGTATCTTCCCATTTCATTTACGAACCAGTCAGTCCAGACAAGGCATCAGTTTGTCTAAAATCAGTAGTGGGCTGGTACTTAATGTTGAAGTAATAACCAAGAGTGTAGTTCCCCAACGTTGCAGTCTGTTTGCTGTATACACCAGAATTCCTTTCTCCGACCCAAAAATGACTACCAATGGTTCATGGTCAGCTAATAGAGTGAACTGACGTCCAAATATCTTATGAAACTTCTTTACAGCGAATATAATTGACAATGCTTCTTTATCGATCTCGTTGTAGTTACGTTCTGCTGTAGTGTGATGTTTAAGAGTATTTGAATTATAGTATAAACTAGTAATCCCAGAAACAACGCAATTCAATGAAGAAGTATTCGATGAACACGAACGAATGTACTGTATTTGGAATTCAAAATCAAGCAGTCATCAATACGAAATAGTCATTGGTTCATTCAAACACTACATGTAGTTAACGATCTAGTTGCATGTGAAATGGCATGGCGTGAGAAATAATTGCTCCATTGCCGTAGTTCGAAGCGTCTGATGTTACTACAATGGGTAAGGATGGTTCGTAACGGGTGAGCAACAGATCCGAGACTAGTATTTTCATGATTTCCTCAAAAGTAGTTTAACAATTTGCGAACCTATTCCATTTTATATTTTTCGCCAAAAAGTTTTTTAAAGGGGCACGTAGGTGATGAAGGTTACGGATAAAAGCTCCATAGTGACTAACTAATCCCAAAAAGGATCGTAGTGTGGATACATACCTCGGTTTAGGCATAGTTCTCACTACCTGGGTATTCTCTGGATCTGGTCTTCTGCCATCCTTATCGGTTATAAAGCTGAGGCAGCGTAACTTTTGTATGCAAATGTTACATTTCTCTGCACGGAGCCGAAGTGCATATTCGGCTATTCGCGACAGTACCTGGTCGAGCTTCTTTTCTAAGCCTATTCTTTATATTTCCATAGTTGTTATGTCATTAGGATAAGCTGCAGCACCTGGAACATGCTATGGCATAGCATATATTACTTGGTAACATGTGGATGGAGCCGTCTTTACTCCAAGAGGTAGTCGATTATACTGGAATAAGCCCACGTGTGTTTATGGTGAGCAGATCTTTACACTCATCAGCATCTACGGATGAGACTTTAGTCTCACGTCCAGATCAGCAGACCACGTCGCCCTTGATTTCGGATGAGATTGCAGTCTCACGAGACTACCGTCTCACGTTCCGGTGGCCTACCCGTACGCTTTCGCGACTCAGCTCTCAACCAACAACGGATACGGTATAGAACTCTATCCCTATACTACATGCATGCTACACTTTTCTTTGTTTGACTTCTTTCTTTATCCTGAGCCCACGCCTCCGACCATTGCCCTGTTGATTACTATTATTACTATTACTATTATAACCAATTATACCAATTATTGTTTTAATTTACCTGTTTGTTTAAGTGTACAAAACACACATTCTTCCGTTGTCTGTGACCTAGCACGAACTCGCGTACGCTTAGTAGTTCCGCTTTTAAACTTTGGCACGATCTCCGTATTCCTTCGGTTCCACGAGATCACCAACAAATATATCTTATTACAACTGTCAACTGCCTTCTGGTTTTCGGCCACCCCAATACCTTAAACTCAGTCTCCCTGTAGTGATCATAGTCAATCGCGACTCTACACCAAATACAAATTCTCGAAAATTGATACGTCATATTTACATGCAACAAACAACTTTACTAAATGAAAAAATTAGTTTACGTACTTCATTGTGTTTCGAATGAACCAAATCTGGCGTCTAATTTGAAGATTTATCACTTATTTTTAACTAGATAACAGTCCTTTGACTGAATATTCTGTGTTGACATCATATATATTTAAGCTCTGCCCTCCGAGTTGAAGGAAGAATTATGACGCCTCATGATAAAAGCCGAGATTATTCGGAAGTCACGAGGCCGATACATCTTCTAACAACCAAAGCAACAATTTCTATAGATACATGGGACGTCCGGACAATGTGGGTGACCGGGAGGACCACATCAGCCTTTCCCAGAGATTCCAACAGCATGTCATAATTTTGTGATCGTTCCTGATCCCATCAATTAATTTGTCAATTTCCACCTAATACCCGACGCATACTTCAGTAATACTCGCTTGGAGGTCCGACCATATGTGGTAGATGTTCTGAAGAAATCCAAAATCAAATATTGGTGACCTTTAGATTTTCCCAACCTTCATAAACCATTTTTACGTCCATAAAGTAATGCAAAGGGGAGCTTGCTCACTCCTTTATAGGCAGGTGGAAATCTCATCGATGTTAACAAAAAATCCTTACTGAGAATTCGGAAGCAATCTATTGATAAAGGCTAATGCGACCTTGAAGATAAGGTGTTGGATTCTTTGAGGCACTTCGTTTCCTACGATCAGACCAGATACTGGTCTTGGCCAGTCCAGAAGCAAGTTTTTAGATTTAGATGGACAAAACCACATTTCAAACAATTTTCTGTGGTCCCTGAAATAGAAGCATCTTAATTTGGCAGTATCGTTACCGAACGTCACCTTATCATCTCCCCAGCCTGTTATTAAAAGTCTTCATGTAGGGAATCCGTCCCTGAAAATCCTGATGACTAAAGAGTCACCTCATGGACAATATCTATGGCGGAATTAAATAATGAATGGAAAAAAGTAGTTAGGATGCACAGAAGCCATGACTAATGGAATTTTTAGTCATAACTAGGGTATTATACTTTCGCACTAACTATTTCACAATCAAACGTGTTTTTTAAACCTCATACTGTGATTTTGAACTACAAACAATGACTGGTTTCTTAAGTTAACATAAAATCATAGAAATGTATCAGTGTTTTAAGTTTGAACTAGTTCGTATTACGAAATTCACTAACAAAAGAACTTTTTATCACAATTATTCTTACCACCTTACAGAACTACGTCAATACTCAGATTTGTGAGGGATGCTCATGCGAATACCAAATCTTAATGCTCTGTCGTAATAAAACTACCAATATTTTCTGCAATATCTGCAATCTTTAATCATTTACCTATCCATCTCTTATGCTTACATAATTCGGGTAGCTGAGTGAAGATTTAGTTTCTTCATGAAATATTTAAACTAATGAAAGAAAACATGAACATTAACAATGAACGTTATCATTGCAACTTGGTACATGTGTATTTGTATGCAGGTACATTTTTACTATAGAGTTAAGTCAAAACGCATACACAATTGTCCTAAAGTATTCATGTGTGCACCTCCAGTGATAGAAAGTTGTTTGTCTTTGTGTGTAGATAAGTTTGTTTGTTGTGTCAATGCAAAATTAGAAAAACGAAATTTATTTTACAAAAGATATTGGAATGGACGTTCAAATTTTTAGGGTTTTACATCAAGGATTAATTGCTCTTGAAGTAACATTGGAAACGTGGTAGTATTGAATAACTGTTGGTTACTAGTATGGGACATCTCAGCTGTCCATGAATATTTTTTTGTGATAAAACACGAATATCCAGAAACTTCTTTCTTGTTATTAGTCAATCAAAATGGAGAAATGGAAATTCTTCCCCGTTAATCCTGTGGTCATATATGTCAGAACAAGAGTAATTGGTTAGCAAGAAACCATTATTCATATGGCACTTACTGTATGGTAAGATACCGGTTAAGATGTAGACTGAGACTCATCACATTCTATGTCAACCTGTACAATAAAAACGACCTAGCTAGGATCTATAATTCTCAGGGTAAGTGGTTAGTCACTGGGCCGTCGGGATCGGCATACAAACCATCTCAAACATTTCAATTAAAAAGTATATATTACAACTAATTCCTACAGCTTTTATGGATGGAGGATATGAACATATAGGATATGATTTAGAAGCATGACTATGTAGGAGAGATTACCGATTTGTGTCTAATCAATGTAGTTTTAAAAGATTATAATATTCAAATTACTGACAAATACTAGTATCTTCGGATATATTATCCCTTCATCGAATGGAAACCGGCGGTCTATACCATTCGAAACTTGGTTATAATTTGCTCTCAATAAGACAAGTTGTGAAGATGGATCAGTGCAGAAACTGACCAGAGGCTCAATATTCTGCTCAATTTGGCCTGAATAGAAGTCTGGAATTCCAAGCTGCCTTGTTGGTGAGATATTGGTAAAACGTGAGTATCAGACTCATCTACATGAAATGTCTGAAGAGATGCATAGTCTGTTCATTAACACTATGAATATATAGATAGATTATACCGGATCATTTTTATTTCTCTAGTATCAGTAAAAACAACTGCATAAGAGAACAATAGATGAGGGTACTATTCCAATCGCTCACTCCTATTAATTAGATATATATTTAGAGGTGATGATTAAAGTAACAAAACACTTTACAAATGAGTTTAATCACAACGTCAGTGTTTAAAACGGTTTAATCTGGCACCATGTGAAATGTCGAAACGAAAACAGGCAGGGGGGGGCAAGATTATGAGTCTAATAAGAATATTTGAGAAAAAACAGAATGGTTTAATACTACTGGGATATTGAATATTTTTGTTTATTCTACGAGAATAGATGCACAAGCAAATGTATTGTGTTACTTTACAAGTTTTAATCAAGTGGTCAAGCAGCTGGTATTGCTGTGTTGCTTTGTTATATAACTAATTAGATATATTCAAGAAAATAAGATCTTCTGTGTCATCGGAGTTCACAGTTCATTATGAGAAGGGTTGGACACAAAAGTAGTTGTCGGAGTATCCAGTCTGATAGAAAAAAATGATAAACGTCAGAAGTTGGCCAAGAAATTAATAAAAACGTTTTTATTAAAAAGAAACATTTATATATTTTTATATATTTTTAGCTACTCACGTGTACTCCATACACAAAAAGCTTCGCAACTTACCTCATCTGGTTACCTGAATTTAGAAAGTTATTTGATTGACTGCTGAGTGCAAATGTAAGTTTTATTGAATAAAACTAAAGAGCATTAAACGAAGAAAAGTTTTTTTGATGAAACCATTATTTTAAGCTGTAAATCCGTATTTACAGTTATTATAGACTGTTGTAGACACAATAGCTACAACGACGATTACTCACAAAAGAACACAAATTTCGATTATTTGACCTTCTGATAAATCAGGATTCAGTGCTGTCGCACAGATAAGGGTGAAGAAATTTTCCTTATGGATCGTCATGGCTATGTCACCAAACTATCCTCAATATTATCGGACGCTGTCGAATTCTCTAGAGAAACCATTCAGAAGATAAGACTGAGAAAACTGAACAGATGTTAACTGAAATCCTAGGGGAGATGAGTTTGTTATCAGTTGTGACCTCGATGAACATCTATATCGAGACTATACGGACCACCAAAAGTTCATTAAAAGAATGTCCCCCTACTTCCTATAATTGACATGAATTACTCACCATATCATTCGATGGATAAATGGTTAGTTTAAACTTTACAACCCGTCAGAAATCACGTCAACAAGCACAACTCTCTTGATTTATTTGATTTTGTTGACTCAATTAGAAATATCGATGTGAATGATAGAAAAGTGATCTCGTTGGATGTCACTTCTCTCTGCAAATGTTCCATTCACAGAAGCTATATGTTTTGAAAATAACAAGTTTGATATTTTTATCCCAAAATATTATCTAGCAGAGCTAATTCTACGATGTACTCTAAATGTGCAATTCAGATTTAATAATGATTTCTGTAGACAAACTGATGTAGTTGCAATGCGTTCACCACTAAGCCCCTTTATGGCTGATTGTTTCATGGCCAATCGGAAAAATACGGCACTTCGACCAAAAATTGGGATATTTCATTTATATAAAGGATATAAGGATGATACTTTCATTATTTGTAAAGAAGATATTGACCTCAATGAAATTTTGAATCGATTCAACAATTGTAATCACTCAATTCTATTCACATTGAAAGGAAAGGCGAACGAGGAATTCCATTTTCTTGATGTCTTGTTGAAAAGATTAGATGGATCTTTACAGATCAATATATAAAAAACCGAACTGGAATGGTCAGTATACAAGTTTCTACAGTTGAGTCCCATTGAGTAGAAAAAGTGAATTAATTCACTCTTAATCTTCGAGAACTAGGCGAATATGTTCTAATGAAACAATAGATGATGAACTACTTCAACCTCGACAGATACTCATCAAAAATGATTATCCACCTGGATTTGTCGATGGGGACTTAACACAACTACCACATCCTAAAAACGCACTGACAGTTTAAGAAACTTTTTTTACGAATATCATAGTTAATGGAGATATGGCCGCCGAAATTATGAAGTAAACGGATTTCAAAATCTCTTGATAAAACCTTTTATTCAGTTAAGCTTAGAATTGTCTTTTAAAACTGGCCTACTATTCACGGATGTGTTAAGGATAAACTTTCGCTTTGGGTCACATCGATGTGCGTCTATAAATTTACTTGCTCCTGTGGAGCTGGTCACATTTTTCATACGGAGCGATCACTTTCCAAACGCAACTCAGAACTTTTCACGGTGTGATTTTTAAAAGGAGAATTCAGAACAATCAACAGTTCAAAACAGGAACACCTGACCAACTCTGGACAAGTCACTGCAGAGGAGTCTTCCTTCAAAATAATCTAAACAATCAAATGAACTGGACAGAAGGCAGGTCGAATCAAAAACTTATGCACTGCTGAGGTGTTGGTGATCCATTAATGCCAGCCCGAATACTGTGTGCAGAAACGATACGTCTAACCTGTCATCTTCGCTTGGATCTAACTCCCTTCTACAGTGCGTTTTAGTCTTGTTTATTGATTATTGTTTCCTAATTTTAAACCGTAACCAGTTATTATTGTAGTGTCGGTTGCTATGTTAATCCCACATAGCTAATTCTACGTTCCGGACAAACAAATCTATTCGTTCTTAAATCACATTTTGACCTTGTCAATCATTCGCCTATCAATTTTGACTCTTTGTATGAGCGTATGTATGCTAATTACTTATCCTATTCATCACATGTCTGTAGCTTATTTTTGTGTGACTATAAATATTGATTCACGCTTGATTAAATTAAGTTGGCTCGCACGCCTTCTCCAGTGCGCGTTATTTCGTTTCGCTCTCTTCACTTCGTCCCTCTGATTGTTTGTCCAGATAGATGAGTGTACAAAAAATATACGTACTTGAAGTTCATTCTCGTATTTGACACTTAATTCCGTGATTCAGTAACGCTATTGGAGTCGATTATTTTATAAGAGGATCGACGATATGTATATTTTAATAACAATCACTCATACGATCGACCTGGAGTCAGATATAAGGCCACTAAATTCTTATTCTTCAACAATTTTTATGTTTACTATTCAGTTATTATTATGACCTTTATGTTTTTTGTTTCTCTTCATATCTATCAATTGAACAATTATCTCCCATAATTGTGACCCATAAATTATTTTCAGTCTCCTATTCTTCTCTAAGACCTGGTTATTACACAATCCCATTTTATCCAATGACACAATGGGTTGCTTCAATAACTTTAATTTATAAAATAAAGTGGTTAGTTAAAAATGCATATGCTTGTTTCACATCATTTTATACCTCGAATAGGACATGTGTAATTCGCCTTTTTACACCTGGTCCAATTCACTGACATTAAAAGTAAATCCATGCAACTTAGAAAGATTTCACTGACACTATTTGGTCCACTGATCAATTGTGGTGACATATAGTTTGAGTTTTTACTAGATATAGACCGACCTAACTCTTAAATGCTAAGTGAATTAAAGTAAAGTCTTTATATCTTTTGATAGTTGCTTTCAGTCCCAACGTGATTGACAGATAAGATGCAGATAATTTTGGCCTATATTTGTCTCTAGAATTTGGTGGATGGTGGTTTTTGAAGTGGTTGTATAAAAAACTTAAAGTTTGTCTTGCTTCGTCTTATTACAAAAATGTCATTTATTTGTTCACTGTACTCAGTGATGTCGACAAGTGACATATAAAAATGTGAAAATAAAATAATCACTCCCTTTCCGTTCACAAAGCTGTTAGCTGGTTTACAAATTAACTCAACTCTAAATGAACATTTCAGAGGAAAATATATTACTTAGAACTCTCAGTAACATGGTTTTGACTGTGTGAATAAACAAAACCTAATTAATTATCCCTAATGATTTACAATGTATCGCACTACACGGATTACCAGTTAAATCCCAACTATAGTATATTTCTATACAAACAGACAAATACCAGACTAGCTTAGGAGTATTATTAATTGATCGCTGACATTTGGAAACACTAGAGTTATGTTATTCACTTCAACATTAGAATTGTAGTAGCACCGTCGCACTCATCCCTAAATATACTTTTAAATGCCTATCAATTGTAAGTCTCCAGTTTGTAATCTGATTTGCAGTGCTTTGGAATATCCCGTTCATGATATTTTGACTGAATTTAGGTCAGATTTAGCATATTTCCATACTGCGAGGATAGTCACTATATCACAAGTTTGTATGAAATAAAATATGGCTGGCAGTGGGATGAAATTACATTCAGCTAACTAGAATCAGGTGTAACAAAACACACGTTCTGGACTTAAGCGCTATCAAAATTCATTGATTCTATCTTCAGTTTTATTTGTATGCCTCAGGATTGATTGAGAATATTCTACACTCTCCCTTCAATTGTACTTCTGTGTTCTTTTCGGATTTAATTTGCCACTGAGATTCACTTAAAATAAACTTATTCAATATGTTACTTATTTGGTCATTTTACCTCGCATCGTAAATAGATGTTAGAATTCCGACGTAGTGGACCTAGGTATATATGTGATTGGTTGGAAAGTACATCGCTCTAGGAGTCAAATATTCGGCAAGAGGTATTTCTGTAGACTTTTGTTCGCAATGTGTTAATGATAAAATTTAATAAAATAAACCAGTTATTCGATTATAGTTTAAATATCTATGAAGCTTGTATTAAAAGACAAATTAACTTCGAACTTCCACTTCTTCATATCCAACCATAAGGTGCATCTCACAGAAAAAGCGATTGTTATGAACTGACGCCAGCTTTCTTTCAAGTAGAGAGAAAAAGTAGATCCCTTTCTTACCTGGCCAAGAAAATGAGAATTTTAGAAGATACCTAATGGAGTGCGTTCAATCTAAAGAAATTACATGCTATCGAGAACGTATATCCGTTGAGACTTCAGAGGAGCATTCAAAATATCCAAAGTTAGTCAACTGATAACATAGGAGAAACGTGCAAAACCTGTAGTTCAGTGGTGAGATACACAACCATGATCTTAGTAAGTATTTTGTCGGATGACTAAGTAGAATATTTTCCTCTGCCATCCTGCGAACAACCTACAAAATCTTCAAACTAATGTACTTTTGTGGTAAGTTGCTGTTTTACCAATTCAATGTAGAACCAGTTTGATCAGCTTCTTATCTAAGAAGTTTATTCGTTATGTTCTACAGCATCTACCAACCTAAGTATAAAGACAATGCAGGAAAGTGATAACAAAGATTAACATAGGAAACTTTTCAGACAATCATTAATTCAGGCTAGGAACAATGACTGGTTATGCTTTCAGTGATGTTAAAGCTGGGAAGGACTTCATACTAATGAAATTCAAATAGATAGGAAATCTTTCTAGATTTAAATAATCTACATATTATCACCAGTCAAAAATAAGTTACCTGTACATCAATTAACTGTTTGGATTGAAAAATTCCGTTAGACCATCGAGTATTTTGGAATTGTCATCTCGATGAAATATACTTGAGGTACTAAAAGTATTAAATGATTGTTTATTTGGAACATCTAAGCAACGATCCAAGGTCGGTTTTCGTGTAGGAGGTTTACGTGCACGATTCTGTGTAGATACAAATGCACCAATGTAAGAATCATAATGATAATGTGTTTTTCATAGTTAAATTCGTGTAACACTGTTATTATTAGATAAATCTTCCAAAATCAAATGAGCTCTAGATGTGTTCACAAGAAAAATTATAAATGTCCAGGGATAACAAGCCCTGTGTGTGGAACAAAACACAGTATAGACTCTACTTCTAGAGTTATCTTAGAGAAACAGACCACCGTTTATTTACAACTAACCATAACCATCGAAGTAAAACCTTAACAATCCCGCTTAGTATATGTGATAATGTTTCCACTGTGGTCGTAACTTTACTTCAAGCAAAGACTTGAAAAACGGGCTTATGAGAAAAGGTCTGTGTAAAAATGGATCCTTTCTCAAATCAGTCGGTAGTAAATTCAGTTAGAAACTGGTTTTCAATGTAGTGAATAAATAACCCCTGAGATGGACTATTCTGAATTCATTTTAGTTCGTAGTTTATTATTAGCTGATTACAACTGTATTTGTACTAAAGTATAACATCGCATGTCCAAACACGTATCAAAGAATTTGAGACTGAGAGAAGCAATCGCTCTAAAAAGTTCAGTAGTTCGACATTCAAGTGATGCCGGGAATACAATTGACATTCTTCAATTTCCTGAAATTAGAAGCAAAAAAAATAACACAGCTTCTCTTGGGTTTGCCGAAGCAGTAGCAGTTAAAACCACCAAACCTCACTTCAGTGTTCAGAAAGAGACAGTAGTCAATCTTATCATTCACTTGGTAAATTCACGATTTTGAATAAAATCACCTGAAATTATTATTATGTTTATTTCGTTATGCAATCTTTGCAAAAATAATTGCTATTTCATGTACGCTAAAATCATCCTTTCATTCATTCTTTTCACACACCTGATTTTCGAAACTTATCAAAACACTAAAACTTATTCGTTATACCGTAAAATATCTTATGAATTTCGAATTTTAGACAATCGTTATCCAATTACTCTATCTTCTCGTGATCTGAAACTTATGTACCTCTTCAAATTTTGTAAAATTATCACACAATCCATCTTATCAGTCTCCAGACTCTGAATAGTTACTCCCTTATCTTATGTGTTTTCTAATTCGATCTTCAAATGAAATTATACTCACGTTTCTACTTATGTATGGTTATCACTGATAATCTTTATTATTCCAACTCTTTCCGTTACTTATGTCTTTTACTCTATATTACGTCATACCTCAATGTTACACTTCAGTACTAATACGGTTGTAAGCAGCTGATGAGAAACCATGAAATAGAATGAATTCACTTGTTGTTTTGGCTTTACTAAAATTTGTAAAAGAAACCAACTGCAGGAAATAAATGACTTAAATTGAGTTTCACTCGATTCCTCCCTTTAATAAATATAGACCAAATAAAGGACAAGGATTTTCACAGATGAAGATTGGTCACTGATTTGTTATGGGTAATTTGGGCTTTTTCATTAATGAAAAACACTGTTTTCCAGTATAAATGTAAAGACGGTTTAGTTTAAAAGAGGTAAGAAGCTTTTTGAAAGTCAACAGTCAATATATATATATATCCATGGTCACATCTGAATAAATTTCCTACTGAAGGGCGACATTGTACAACAGTCAGTAGAAAGAGATTATTTTACCTAGTTTCCTTGTTGCATTGTTAAGTATAAGAATATAATTCTGTCAGCTATTTGCAAACATTATACTTCATGAATCACTATTAAATAGCAAAACACATTGGACGAAAATTGATTCTTATAAGAGTGGAATTTGTGGAGATTGTAGTAATTTTAATAGTTGAATTCATGAGTTGATCTAAGATAGACCACCATTGAAAACCTGGAAGCACTGGATGAACGTTTCGTCCTAGTATGGGAATCCTCAGTAGTGGAGTCCAGTCCGTGTCAAGTGGAGACATTTATCCGCTTCAGCGGTCTAGAAGTTGAGCGTTTGCACGCGACACTGGGAGTCCTGATTTCGGGTCCCATAGGTATAAACGTGGATGCGCACTTCTGCAGAGTCCCGTATTAGGATGAAACGGCCGTCCAGTGTTTTCAGTGGTGGTGTAGCTTAGATAGATTCATGAATTCGACTATCAAAAGATAGATTCATCTCAAAAACACTGTCCTTCCTATTGGCAACAGATAATGCTGAAATTTCTTTTCTGATGAGAAAGTAGTTAAAAATCAATTATTCACTATGCCATAATAAAGTTACTATTTTATTTAGCTTACTGAAAGGTATAAAATCTAAATTTCTCATACGATCGAAATCAAATTTCGTAGAAAATCGTGATGAAATTCAAATGCGGCAACTGACGCGTTTAGGGACTTGATATGTCCCTGAGTTGTTTGTTCATATACTTATGGAAAATCCGTGCTGATTACTGATAGATAGGAATAGGAAAACGCTGATGAAAAAGGACAGATGAATAGTTTATTATTTTGTGTAAAAGTAAGTAGTCATGTGTAAGTGTTATTTAATACGGCGGATTCGGTATGTCATGACTTTGTGTTAAGACTGGTTACTTACACTCATATTCTGCTTCTTATCCTTAATTATTATCTGGATAGCAGTTAAAAAAACATTCTGTGTGTGTCATGTATTAAAACTGCAGGTTATGCGGAAATACGGTAATCTATTATTACTAACATGAAACATCTTACTTCATATCAAATGAAAATAAATTCAAAGATGAACAAATATGATATCAGTTAGTTTCATAAGAACTACCACACTATATCCATCGACCTACTCAAAACTCAGACAAGGTTCCTATAACGAAAACAATATCGTAGTGTCTTTGGGCAATCATAAAATATACGATTATTGTCCCAATATTATTTCCATTGAAAATGATGTTTGTATGTTAACATAAAGAAAAAAACTCTAGCATGATGTTAGATAATACTGGGTGTCATATAAGATACGTGCAAAACTATACATCCCACTTGTAAATCTCACACTTTTATTCCCATTACTTATAAATATTTATCAATTTTTAAACCTCAATCTGAAGACAGTTTCTTTAATTATTTAGTAAAAATTGATACAGTAGTATACGGTTGATGATTCATGTACTTCAAAGTTTCCAAAAGATCAGGAACATTTTCTTGACAGAAAGTTAACTGAGAAATGATTACGTAATGGAAATGTATATCGTTTGGGGTTACAAGTAAAAACTTATAGGTCACCAGTAGATAATAAACAGCTCACCAATAAATTATCTGATACTGTTTTCGACTCAGATTGTTCAAAATCACATATTGATGATCTGGGACTTGAATTGGCGGACGTGCTAGAAGATGCAGTATCATATGAAGATGGTTCTTGCTGTTCAACTGAATTGTTTGTTGACATTTCTGAAGTCGATTCTTTAGTATCTGAATGTCCAGTTGATCTTAATTTTAGTCGGTTTTTCATTTCACCGAAAAGTTCATTTCCTGAAGTCATAAACAATATATGTTGGTAAGTAAAAACGAAACGTTTGATCAAATTTATAATTCTCTTATATAAACAATCGACAGCTAAATTCAGGAATATGTCGTCAATTCTACCCAAGCTGACACAGCAGATTTATCCTTCAAAACAATATATACGGTCAAAGAGTTGGGATCGAAATGAGTACGAATAAAAAAAACTTGTGGATTAAAGAGGGTTTAGCTATTCATCAGCTTTTCGAAGAAGGTGAAGATTCCTGGCAAAAATATCAGGTCAGAAACTTATGCGACTAATCGAACTGCATATTTGATAAAGATCTACGGAGTAATGTTTTGCGACATAAGTCATAGAATTGATGCAATTGATACATGTTCAATTCGAAAACTTAGTCAAAAAGACGAGTGATCTTGACCCTGTCTCCGACCACGAATTTCAACGTTTTAAATCGTCTCTTCTAGATAGCTGCAACTAGTATATAAACACAAAAATAACAAATAAGTTTCTTCTATCAAAGGAACATAGAAATCAACTAAAACCATTTAGAAACAAAAAAAGACCTGTTAATAATACTCCTAGACAAAAGTGCATTTTTAGTGCTGTGAGACGGAAATAAGAAACCTATTTTCAGTTGACAACAAATCCTCCAAACGAATCAATGAGAAAAGCTAGACCGAAATTATCTGAAAGCAAGTAAATGAAGTTCTTAAGAGAATAAATAATGGATTTGTAATTAACAAAGATATATATTTCTTAACTGCTAGACCACGCGGGACAAGATATATATGTACGAGCACATAAAACCAACAGGACCACTAATGACACGACTACATGGTCTATTTAAAGTAAACAAACTTTGCCTGCCTCTCCGACCAGTTCTTGACATGTTCGGATCTCCTTATCACTCTATAGAAAAGTGGCTGGCAGATCTCCTGAAACCCGTAAGAAAATGTATTTGTACATACTCTCTACATGATGCTTTTAAACTCATTGATTACACAAAATAAGCGTATGTAAATAGCAAACTTATCCTTTCATTTGATGTGGAGTCACTATTCACTAATGTCCCATTTACAGAGACTATTAGCTTTATCTTCAAATACATAAATGATAATGGAATTAATATCGGACTGCAGAAATCCTATTTTTAAAAGAATTGCTATTACGATGCACTTTTTATGTACAATTTACATAAAATGGCGTTATTTATATAAAAAAGGATGGCATAGCGATGGGATATCGTCTTGGTTCATTACTAGCAAATTGTTTCATGGCCAGTCCAGAAAACAATCAACTCAGAAGGACTTTTGACATTTTTCACTTGTTTAAAAAGTACATGGATGACGTATATATTATAACAAATTTGATTTGAATCATATTCTGCAGGCACTCGTAACCGTCAGCCGTCAATAAATTTCACACTAGAAGTAAAAAAACAAAGAAAGTATTCTCTTTCTTGGTGTTGAGATGACTGGAAAGTACGATAGAACTATAGGGAGATCAATCTACACAGAACCATCGTAGAATGACTAGCTATCAAGCTTTCTCAGCTGCTCCTCCATTAGTTTAAAGCGTAGTTTACACGGATACATAGAATTGGTATTCCCTAGGTCATAGGTAACGAACTGAAGCTCCTAAAGAAAATACTTATTGAGAAAGGAGATCCATAGGTTTTTATCAATAAGAAAATAAAACACAGGCCTCCGAAAGCACAGACAGCCGCCGTACCGAAGAGAATTCTATGTATGAACGTCAATTTCAAAGCTACAGACATCTTAAAGAGAGGAATTTCCGACTCCCTCAATAAAACGACTTTCTCAGAAACCATGAGATTGTTGTTTTCGAACTGACGTTCAGTAACAGTCTGTCAATTTACCCGTTCATGTGGAATCAGGTATGTAGGTCGTCCGATGAGTAATTTTATCTAAAAGAATCCAGAAACATTACCCCGCTTGACTGAAAAGAGGAGGAGTATGGCTCAGTAAGAAGTTCTATAGTCAAAACCTTGTGAGCACACGTCATTCGATCAAAACCGGCTCTGAGTTGAAAGTCATCTACGAGGAAATTTGAAAGCTGCCAAAGACAGTTACCTTCCGTCTTCTTAGTATTGCCGAAGCACCTGCAATGTCTGAAAAACCCAGAATTATATGTAAAAAAGGAACTTGTACAATCCATCCTTCTACCATAGTCTCAATATCTCACTATTCTCTTCCCATACCTTCTCTCAAAAAAAGCTTCCCTTGTATTTTCTCTATAGACCTTTTACCACAGCTGATTTGTTTTTGTTTCTATGATCCTTATCACGTTGACCATTCCCTTTACAACTATAGCTCCTTATTTATCTTCAGAATGAACCTTTGAGCTATTAAAAACAACATTGTTGCCGGTTTCCTTATTAAAAATAACGTTTTCATGCCTCTACCTATTTTACGTCACTGTTAATGTTAAGTTCGTTGAAATCCTTATCGATATTCTCACATAATCCTACTACTGTTTTGTGTATCGCTTTATACTACTTGTTCATATTCAATAAACAAATCTATATTTAAATAAATAATATATTTGTAATATTCCAATGAGTAGAAAAATTAGATTTTCTGACGTTTCGTGACTCAGTGTAAACAACTTTTTCAGAGAATAAATAACCAAATTAACATTAATCCAAGTTTAAATAGTACAACGGAACAATCAAAGAATATTAGATGCGATCAATCAAAAAACAGGTCTGAATAAATCAATATCATGTCATTTCTCTCAATGTGATTCATAAGCAACATGTATGTAAATTTATGTATGCATGTGTGGACTGTTAAGGATGAAAATTGTGTGACTTTTGTGGTGAGAAAGGATAGAGTTCAATTTGTAAGGTAATAGTGTGAATTGTAAATAACATCAGACTACGTGACTAGGATAGATAGTCCAAGTACGATGTATGCTAAGGCCTTCCTTTCTATTGAGAGCAGTATATCAAACGCTTCAGCTACTCTCCTTTCTTTGTAATTGGAAAAGCCTTTTTGTAGTTTTTTGATATTTTTGAAATCAATTTGATGATTGTTGAAAATGGCGAAATTGGTGAAAATGCTGATTTAATTTGAAGTCTATCCAATTCTACAGAACTATTAGGTTTCTTTGTGCACCTAATATGTTCTTTGGCACGAGTTAAGATTTCGCAAGATGACTCTCCAATATAGAAGGCATCACAATCGACACAGCCTAATTTGTAGACGCAGTTCTGTGTAGATATGAATGGGATCTTTTCTTTTAATCGAACTAAAGTATTTCGAAGTGCATTCGTTGTTTTGTAATATACGACAATAAAGACCAATTTTACGAGAGGCTGCAACCAATCATAGCAATATGCTCAGGAAAAAACCCGATGATCCTGATGGGGGACTTAAACGCCCAAGCTGGAATGGACTACACCGGGTATGAATATATCATGGGACAACATGGACTGGAAGAAAAGAACGAGGATGTAGGGAGATACGCAAATTTGTGTGCAATCAACATAATGGTTATAGACGGCACAATATTTCCACACAAATGTATACACAAAACCACATGGGTCTCACTGGATCACACCAAAGAGAACCAGATAGATCATATTTGCATCAGCAAAAAGTTCAAAAGGTCAGTTGAAGACGTGAGAACCAGAAGAAGATCTGAAATAACTTCAGATCACCAGCTAGTGGTTGCCAAGATGAATCTGAAGCTAAAAAAGCAATTAACAACTGGATACACAACATTAAAAAGGTTCAATATAGCCTTTCTTCGAGATGCTGACAAACTCAACGAATTCAAGATAACTCTCAACAACAGGTCCCAAGCCTTACAGGATCTACTGAAGGAATGAGAAACTACTTTAGAGGACAACTGGAAAGGGATCAAAGAAGCATTAATTTCAACGTGTCAGGAGGTGCTGGGCCACAAGAAGCATCATCATAAGAAAAGGATCTCTATCGAACAAGGACAAGAAGACAGCAAGTAATAACAGCTGAACAAGAACAGAGGAAGTCAAAGCACAGTTCGAATACACAGAAGCAAACAAGCAAGTAAAGAGGAGCATTAGAGCTGACCAGCAGAAATAGGTGGAAGAGCTAGCGAAAACAGGGGAAAAAGCTGCAAGAGAGGGAAATATGAGACAGCTTTATGACACAATGAAGAAACTAGCAGAAAAATATAGTAAACCAGAGAGATCGGTAAAGGACAAAGAAGGGAAGCTAATCACTGAGATTCAAGATCAGAGGAACAGATGGGTGGGACACTTCGAGGAACTCTTGAATAGAACAGCTCCATTGAATCTGTAGTGGCATTTGACCGTAACCACAGGACCTTTAAAACCGAGCACACAATGATATATATATATTCCAACTTGTTCAGTTACTAGCGTTAATATTATATCTGAAGACAGATATAATTGTAGAGATGCTGAAGACTAACTACAAATCCAGATGAAAACATAATATTTTGCTTCAATTATTAATCACACTACTATCAGTACCAGGTAAGGTTTTCAGTTACTGAAAAGATTTATATCCAACAACTGACACGAAGAGAAGGTGAACAATCGGAAAAGCGGGAACATTCACTCATTCAATCAGATGGCATGGCTCAGCTTTACAGAAGTGGTCATTCTGTATAATTTGTATTTACTCACATCAAATATATAATTCTATCTTCGGCCCAAATATGTTCTTTAAAAGCACTAAACGTTATACTGCTGATTCTTACGATGTGAAGAGTCAGTGAAGATAATGATGAGGCTTCTACGTATGATCTCATACATTAGGTAGTCACATCATGACAAGTCTACAATTTTAGGATTAGGTCTATCATTATAGCAGTACTAATAGTGAACTAGACTATAATCCTTCAAATCTACCGGATATCAAAGCAACACCTTGTTATGCCTGAAACTAAATCGATTCCACGGTAACGAACGAAAGCCAATGACACAATGACACGATAAGCTACTCTAATCTGTTGTCCCAGGCCCCGCTAACTAGATGAAGAAGTCCAAGGCAAGTAGGGGAATATATATGTATTCCGTAAGCAGCCGAGTACAAGCAATCGAATAAGGGAAAAAGTCAAGCGCATTTATACAACAACAATTTGTCCTTGAGCATCATTGGTAAATAGCACACACAAAGAAACAATGGACCAATAGCGTTTAAGACAGTTTACAAGTGGGAGATATGACGTGAAGGTAAAAAGAGCGCGTTTGGCGCGGAAACAGCTAAATTCAAATTTTCAAAATAAAACTACAAAACTAAGCCATTTACCAAGTAAGTTCTGGGGATTTGACATCCCCAACACACCTACAGATCTTCTTAAAGATATCACTCCACCAACGATCGATAAATCCGGATGGCCATCAGGCAAATCAAGAGAGAAAGTAGTACAACCTGACACCATAAAAGCTGAATAAATGCGAATAGGTTCCACGTTCTATTCAGGAAGATTTGAGAAGAGGAACTAGTGTCGACAGACTAGAAAGGATATCTCACGAAGATATCATAGATTGAAGACCTGAGCATTTGTGAGAACTACAGAGGAATCACACTACTTCGAGATCAACAGGCCTGGTTCCGTAAAGATCAATCGTACAGACACCAAATTTTGACACTACGGATCATCGATGAACAATCAATCGAATGGAACTCGTCACTATACATCAACTTCCTTGACTGAAAAATCATTTGACAGCGTGTATAGGAGAAAATTATGGAAACTTCTTTGACACTATGGTGTACCTGAGAAGATCGTCAACATCATAAGGAATTCATGAGACAAACTACACTGCAAAGTCGTTCATGAATGACAGCTTACAGATGCATTCCAAGTGAGAACCGGAGTCATACAAGGCTGCTTACTCTCCTTTCTCTTTCTCCTGGTGGTCGACTGGATTTTGAAGACATACACATCTGACGAGCACGGAGTAGGTTGAACAGGTTGGATGCAAGTAGACTATTTAGACTTGGCAGATGATCTAAATCTTTCACAGCATACACACCAACAAATGCAGCTGAAGACAACTATTGTAGCAGCAGCCTGAACACATACTAACGGAAAAGCAAATTCCCTAAATACAATAAGGAGAACATCAACCCCATGCAAGCTTTTTATTATATTGACCACTGTAAAATGGAAATAATAGCCCTCCATACTATGGGCAGTTGTTATTTGAAATAATCAAGGTTTATCAATCAAATAAAATTATAATTGTTTAACGTGTACACGAATTCCCATTGATGTTTCAGTTGGTTAGTTGTGGAGACTAGTCCACTTAGTTAATGATTTTCCTGATGAAGAGGCCTTAGCTTCTAGATCACTGAATCTCCGTTAAGTCTGAGATCACTAACAATATTAGATGGTCGTCGAGCTACATTCAAAGTCGACAAAATTCATGAATATCTACTAGCGGTTCGTCAACCAATGATCTAAAAGTGACAGCTTCATAACTATAACTAAAAACCTTTGTTTCAACTTCTGGTGAAATCTTTCGTTGCGTGTCTTATCGAAATGAATAAGATTTATGAGTCACACCAATTAATAGGATAATTGATGTCCTTTAATTGGCTGGTCACATGAAGCACGAGTAGTTTACAGACAAATCAGACCAGAATAACGTGGTGGGAGCTTAAGCAACGATTTCATTGGTTAGTTATGGATATAACTAAAACCATCGGTGAACGAGGAGGATCTGATTTAGACGTAAAGGAGAGAATTGGCAAAGCAAGGGCCTCATTCCTACAATCGAAGAACAACTGTCAGCCAACATTAAAGTCAGAATCTTCAATACGAACGTCAAGACAGTCATAGTGTATGGAGCTGAGACGTGAAGAACTACTAAAACCGCAATCAAAAAGGTACAAGTATTTATAAACAGATGTCTACGCAAGATAATCAGTGTCTGTTGACCGAATACCATCAGCAACAACGTACTGTAGGAGAGGACAAACCAGCTTCCAGTTGAAGAGGAAATTAGGAAAACACATTGTAAGTGGATAGGAAATACATTACGGAAATCATCAAACTGCATCACGAGGCAAGCGCTTACCTGGAATCGTGAAGGAAAACGGAAAAGAGGAAGGCCGAAGAACATACTACTTTGGGAATTGGAATCAGACATGTAAAGAATAAATAGCAACTGGAAAGGATTGTCCAGGACAAGTTTGGATGGAGAATGCTGGTGGGCGGCATATGCTCCTCCACGACGAGTAACAGACGTAATCGGTAACTAAGTGATATTTATTATTTATGATAACTTTCTCTCAACCCCTGTTACACTTACTCCCAATTTTGTGTATTCTTTTAATCTTTGATTAAATGCAATAGTTTCCATATTTCTGTGCTCTTAATTTCCATTTGGGTTATTGGTAAACTGTTGATGACGTTTAACAGCTGTCATTCTCACAATCGTACGTTTTAATTACTAGTTATGTTATTATAAGAAGAAGCCTTTCTTTTTCCAGACTTGTTAACTCATTAATAGCCGCAGATACCCCACGAGTTGAAGTTATTAACCAATTTATGTTTAATCCTCAATGATAGTACCGTTCTTTAGACAAATCGTGATTTTTTGAACTACTGCTTCACGAGTATTTCCATCGTATAATTGGGTGCTTCGACAAATATAACATTTACCAAAATGTTTATCATTGTCATTATTATCATTTTTAAAAATAAAAATAAATCCTGGGACATGAATCCACCGAAAAGAAAACCCGTTGCAGAGCCAATCTTTCCTATTTTATGTCTCAATGGGTATGTTCTGTTTACTGATTATACATGATTCGAAATCCTTAAAAAACAAATCACTCACTCGGACCAAATAAAGCTATTCCAGAAAGTGGACGATCCATAGTTTTTTTATATGGTGAGGATGGTTCACTTTTTCCATTTGAATGCTAAACGTAAAATCAAACATAATTTGTGAGTAGAAGATACTCGTAGGTTACTAGTATTTGACCACAGATGCCTTAGAAATATTGCTCGCATCTGCTGGGATCACCGAGTAAGTAATAGTGAGGTTAGACGCAGGGTATTAGGTAACGATGGTAAATCAGTTGATGAGGTGATAAATCTTCATCGACTGAGATGGTTGGGCCATGTGTTACGTATGCCTGAACACCGATTACCACGACGCGCTATGATGACTAGTATTGGGGACGGTTGGAAGAGAGTTAGGGGCGGCCAAACCAAAACATGGCATCAGTGTTTGAAGTCACTAACTTCTAGCCTGAGCCATGTTGGCAGATGCAGACTACCTGGTTGGGGTCCGCGTGACTATCGTAATAAATGGTTGGAGACTCTAGGTGACATGGCTCAGAATCGATCACAATGGCGTAGGTGTATACACTCTTTATCTTCCCTTAAACCTTGAGATTAAAATTGCTTCATATCTCTCTTCCTTCCTGTACTATATCCTTCTATACAATCTTTCTTTATATACTACCATCACTAAATTAATTGCTTCTATGAATCCGGTGTTCATCTTGTTGTGCTAAAGAGGTATGGCAACTTGGACCGATGCATATATGTGCCTGGTCCTACGTTGTAGCTGACTGACTGACTGACTGTGATAAATTATGAAAGTGCCAGCATCCAACGGTGTTATTGTCTAAATCCAGTCAATTCATGATGTTTTACAACCTTTTACCCATTGTTTGAAGTGGATAATGTTTCCACCCAACATGTATTGAACTCCAGTGGTCATGGATTCTCACTAGATCTCCATCTTGAAGCTAGTCACTAGGGTTCGAGTCCACATGGGGGATCGTGGCTGCGCACTGCTGGGGAGTCCCATACTAGGACGAAACAGCCGTCTAGCGCTTCCAGGTCTTTAATGGCGGTCTAGCTTAAATAGATTTATGAATTCAACTATTAAAATTACTACAATAATCGCAAACTCCATCCTGATAAAAATCTATATACCAACGATTGTTCAGCCGTCACTTTCATTATAATGAAATTGATAGCAATCAAGACTCAAAATCCTGTTCGCTATGATTTGGAATCAACTTAAACAATAATTATTATTGTTATTATAATTATTCTTGGCATTTCTCATCAAGCGTATGCGAGCACACAGACAGACCTTGCTTACCTGTCAATAAAAAAATTAGGATATGCTCATTCAATTTCATTTGTGAATAATGTAGATCTGTATTCGACTTATGATGATGTCAGCACAACAAACATACTAAATATAATGGAGCAAAACCTTTTAAATGTAGAATAACACTTTTTGTATAGTTTATTCGAAAATATTTATATTCAGTGTAGTGATATTTAGAAGGTATAGTCAAGTTGTGACAATGAATTTATTCTTTTCGCCATTCGTGAGAATTAAATAACATGGTAATCAGTCTAATAATTAGAACTTTATTTTGAAAAACAGACGTACAAACAACAATCTTCATATAAACTGAATGATAATTTATCGATCGGTAAGTGATGCCCGTAGTAAACAACTTCACAAAATTTTAAAAAAATTGTGTTTAACTGATACAAAAATGAACTGAAGCTAGATAACAATGTAGCCTTAGTGTTGAGTGCTCCATTATGGCATGCTGTTACTATCATTTATGTACAGAAGACTGCTAGTCAGTTGTGGCTTAAGTGTTACCTAATGTCAGAACATACTAGAAATCCTCGATTAAAACCTTTTTTCGATATCGTATGTGTTGTCGGGTCAATTAATTTGAAATAATACAATGATCAGATGGCGGCATATCCTACATGATCTATTAATAGATCATAAACATGAGAAATTGGATGCTGATTGTAAGTTGTAGGCAGTCTAAGAAATATCATTCGTATTCACAAACAAATCTGAAATGCTTATGGGATGAATTCTTCAATCAAATTTGCAAATGATGAACAAATAGTTGTTTTTAGCGCTAAACGACAGGTAGCAGAAACACGGTTGAAAGAGTAATTCTTTTAAGACTCAGATTTGAAAATCTATTCCAAGCAAGAAACATTAATAAATTACAAGCACTCGATTTTATTTCACCTATACCATTGTGGTAGATGCTGAGTCATGTCACACAGAGTCTCCAACCATTGGTTATGATAGTCACGCGGACCCCAACCAAGTAGTCTGCATCTACCAACATGGCTAAGACTAGAAGCCAGTGACTTCAAACACTGATGCCATGTTTTGGTTTGGCCGCCCCTAACTTTCTTCCAACTATCCCCAATACTAGTCAGCATAGCGTGTCGTGGTAATCGGTGTTCAGGCATACGTAACATCATAATATAAATTGAAAAAAGCATGTTCAAATGATGCACTGATTAATTAACTAAAGGTCTAGAACAATTGGAATAAAAAATCCTTAGAGCAAACAAATGTAGACTCTCAAACATTTTGAATTAGAGGGTTGGAAATATAAAACTTGGAGGTAAGTAATTTCTTTGAAATGTTTTAACTCCTGTCAATTCATATATTTACGCAGCGCGCTGAGGAGTCCTACAATAAGACGAAACAGTCGTCCAGTACTTCCAGGTTTTCCATGGTGGTCTAGCTTCAATTGACTCATGATTTCAACTATATATAAAAAAATTTCGTATATGCATATAAACATATATTGTATATTAGAGTAAGGCCTGATGAGGATCTAATCGAAAATTATCGTTCTCTTATTTATGTTGTTCTAAATCACAATATGGGAATTTTTCAAATACATAAACAAGTGAAGTGGCCTTTCTATCCAGTAAATACTATATAAAAGTTAGATATTTACTGACGTTCATTCTCTGATATACGTAGCGGTATGACTAGCTAGAAAAAGAATACCGTTTTCACTGATGAAATGTCTTGCATTTCAGGTTTTTCACGGAATCTGAGCCAAGAAATAATAAATTTTCGGGATATTAGTGTTTTACTATAAGAATTAGTCGTGCATATTCGAGGAGTCCATATTAGGGCGAAACAGATGTGCAGTGTTGTCGGCCTTCCGATAGTACTCCAACTGATATCAATCTGTGACGAATATCAATTACAAACTAAAATAATCGCCACAAACCCCTCTTCATCATGACAAAGAATTTCATTGATGCCCTCTATTGACAGACAATCACTTCACGAAACTTTAGTGGAATTGAAATAGTCCAGGCTTTTGGAATTGTAAAATTGTTAACACATTACATTCTTAAGTATCGAGTAACAAACTTATCATTAAAGAAATCGATTCCATAATGTTCATAGAATTGTTTATAAGTTTTAACTATTGATGAATATTTAAATTGAGCCTCAATCAGTTGTCCCCCGGGCTCTGTGGTCACGCTCCAGGGTCGTTAAGACCAACACTAATCTAACTTCCTTTTCAGGTCTCTCAAGAAATACCCTTCCACGGTGTGGGCAGCCGGGAAGTCATATTAGCAGTTGTGACCACCCCGAGGCAGCGTGGAATGACATCCGAAAAGCTATAGAAACAGCAGTGATATATGCTAGTACGGTAAACTATAAGGTTAGGGAGAAACACTGGATCTCAGCAGCATCTACCGCACTCATAGATGCTCAAAGACTCATCCGATCTGGCTCTGAACATAACGCAGAGCGGAGTCAGCTTAAGCGCAGGCTAATAAGAAGCCTACGCAATGATCGCGAACAGTAGTGGGTAGCGAAAGCAAGAAATGGAAAAGGCAGCGGCGATAGGTAACAGCAGAAAACTGTTCAGACTTGTTAAAGAAACAGGTTGTAGCGACCTAACTGTCAGCAAAACTATCTCGGAAAAAGATGGATATATTAATCATCCTCAATCCAGGAGATTGGGTCGATAGGGAGAACACTTTAGGGATCAGTTCAACTGGCCTTCAGCCACACTTCGGTTTCCCACGATCCCCAGTCGACATGAATGGTAAGTTAATGTAAGTTCACCAACTCCTTATGAGGCTGAAGAAGCTATAGGAAATCTGAAGCGTGGGAGAGCAGCAGGCCCTGACAGGTTTACCCCTGAAATTTTTAAGGACGGCGGTCCCGTATTAGCAGAGAGATTGACTGAAGTCTTAGGTAGAATCTAGGAACTGGACGTAATTCCATTTGACTGGTCCTAATCATTGATTGTGCCAGTCTATAAGAAAGGACAAAAGTCCTCTTGTGACAATCACAGAGGAATCAGGTTGACTAATATAGTATCTAAAATATTAGCTTCAATAATACTTCGACGCCTAACCAAACCTCGTGAAGAGCAGACTAGAGAAAACCAGGCTAGACTTCGACCTAGATGTGGCTGTTTAGACGAGATATTCACTCTACGTCAGGTCCCAGAACATAGACATACATTCAGACGTCCCACAGTCGTAGTATTTCTCTAAATTAAAGCGGCATTTGACTCTGTTGATCGTGGGGTTATGTGGCAGTGTTTGTCACTGAAAGGAGTACCAAAGAAGTACATTAACCTTATAAAGGCTCTCTACTCGAACACAACTGGTCGAGTTAGAGCTTATGACGAACTATCATCAGAATTGATTACCTTAAGTGGTGTTCATCAGGGCTGTTCACTCTCCTCAATCTTGTTTAACTTTGTCGTTGACATGCTTTTAAAAATAACACTTTCCTCATCCAAATTTAGAGCGATTGAACTTCTACCAGAAGATTCGCTTGTTGATTTAGAATACACCGATACCATAGTTCTATTTGGTGAAGACGCTGACAAGGTGCAGTCTTCTGATCACTATAGGCAGCAATGCAGGCATGTTCTGGATGCGATTTTCCTCCTCCAAATGCAAAATGTTACTTCATGATTGGGTTGCATCGACACCTGAACTAATGATAGGGAGTGAAGTATTTGAGAATATTGACCGCTTCACTTATCTTGGGAGTCTCATCGGCCATTGTGGTCTGGTTTGTGACGAAATCTCAGCACGGATACAGAAGGCTCGTCTAGCTTTCGCCAACTTGCGTCATTTATGACTCAGGATAGATGTCCGTCTAGCAACTAAAGGACGGGTTTACTGTGCAACAGTTCGTTCCGTCCTACTTCATGGCAGTGAAACATGGACGGTAAGAGTGGAGGACATTCGATATCTGTTGTCTATCCGAGACCCATGTTCATGACTGTGGTGAAGTACTACGAATTCGATCTCCATCTGTCACTTCGGGAAGCTTGTTTCACGTCTGTTTATCCCACGATGCTGTGGCATCTTCCTCAAGTTTTGCTAACGTTTGTGTCATAATAAGCGCTAGAGTCGAGGCAGAACTGGCCGATGGGATCCTCATTTACAGTCGGTTATATGCTGGTAGATTAGAAAGCTCCATCAAAGTGAGAAATCGGCGTGAGAAACGATTCCTTTTTGTCATCTACACCCATACCCTGACAGATTGCAGTCCGGATGCAATCAAGGATGAATTCTACCAACAGTTAACTGTTCTTCTCCAGAAAGTGCGTTCGACAGATATTGTAGTACTAGCCGAAGACTCGAATGCACAGGCCGGGAGTCTAGGCACAGAAGAGAGTCGTTTAAGTGGCCGATGGGAACTTATTGATCACAGGACAGATAACGGGGACCATCTACTGCAACTGTGCACAGACCACAACCTGTTTCTGGCTAGCACTAACTTCCGGCACAGTCATCGCCGATGTGCCACCTGGCATCCTCCCTCTGTATCTCAAGCCTGGACTCAGATTGATCATATCGCAATCAGCCACCGCTGGCGTGGTTGTGTACAAGACTGCCTCTCCTTTTGGAATACCTACCTGGACTCTGATCATGCCCTGGTCTGCGCCAATCTCACCTTACTTTTCAGTGGACAACGAATTGATCGTCATCAATGGATTAATGTCAATAAATTGGTTGCAACTTCTGTTGCAAGTAAGTATCTAACGGACCTAGCTTCTAGGCTAGCTACCATCCCACCGAAAAGTATAGATGAGCATTGGTGGCAACTGCATGACGCCATGAAAATGGCGATCAAAGTCGCTTGCGGCTTCGCGAAACGTCCCGCTTACAAGCACTGGGTTTCTCCAGGCTCCTTACAACTCATCGAAGCCCCTTATTCTACTCTGGGTGACAGTGAGTTTGACCACAAACGAAGGCTGTTACGCAATGAAATTAGGCAAAGCTTCGTAGTCGGAGCGTGCCAATCAGTTGAAAGCAGCAGCTGCATCTGGTAACTGCCTGAAGCTCTCCCAACTCATCCAAGCCACTGTTAGCAAGAAGTCTTGTGCGAGCGAAAACATCTGTGAGGATGACGAGATGCCATTCACTAACATCTCTCGACGTCTTGAACGATGGGCTGAATTTTTCGAAGGGCAGTTCAACTGGCCTGCTGCTCCGGCAACATCGATCAGATTGTCCTGCCCCCCATGGCCGGTGACGACTGATCCACCAAATGAGGCGGAAGTTCGCAAGCAACCCAAACTCACGAAACGCGACAAAACATCGGGCCCAGATGACCTACCTCCGGCTCTTTTTAAAGATGGTGGTGACTTTCTGGCTAAGGAATTGACTGCGTTGTTTACAAAGGTTTGGGAGCTAGAAAGTATTCCATCGTCATGGAATGAGTCAGTAGTTGTCCCTAACTTTGTAAAGGGTTCACGTCGTCGCTGTAACAACCATCGGGGGATAAGTCTACTTCCGATCGCGTCCAAACTATTGGCTTCTGTCATACTTCGTAGGTTGTTCAAAACCCGAGAAAGACTGACTCACGAGGAGCGACTGGTTTTCGTTCTAGTCGAGGATGTATTGATCATATCTTCACCCTCCGCCAAATGTTAGAACACCGTCATATTTATCACAGGCCAACAATCGTAGTGTTTCTTGATATCAGGGCGGCCTTCGATTCGTTGGACAGGACTGTTCTCAGGGATTGTCTATTGAAAAAGGGTGTGCCCGAGAATTTTATTATCATGAAAGCCCTATATGCAAACACCTTAAGCCGACTGAGGGCATACAACCACCTTTCTCCCTTGTTCCATTCAAGCAGTGGGTTTAGGCAGGGTTGTCCAATCTCACCATTCCTCTTCAAATTTGCTATCGACGACATTCTGGAAACAGCTCTGATGGACGTAAGTAATGGCGGTGTGGATATGTTGCCTGGAGATGTTCGACCTTGAGTATGCAGATGATATTGTCTTACTGTGCGATAATAGCCTAGCCATGCAATCCGCACTTAATCAGTAAGCAATCAGTGTTCGTGTGTCTAGTTAGCTGCTGGTGGTGGCGTGAGTGATAAGATCGATTTACGTATAATGAAAGCCAGAGCGGCTTATGCCAATCTGGGCCATCTTTGGCGCCTTCATGATGTTAGTCTGGCTGTAAAAGGTTGGATCTACAACGCGTCGGTGAGAGCAGTTTTGCTCTATGCTTGTGGAACCTGGCCTCTCCGGGTTGAGGATGTTAGACGACTCTCTGTGTTTGATCATCGTTGTCTCCGAAGGATGAAGGCTGGAACCAGTACAGAGACGATTTACACTTCGTATTCTCGGAACTGATTGTACCTTGACTTATAAATCTAGGTGTAATAAACTTGGGCTCGACCCTTTATGGAAGAGGAGACTCTAACTAACTATTATTATTATTTTCAGAATATATATTATATATCTCAGCCGAGTTCGGCCCTTGCAACCCAACGTCTGCAATCACTGGTTACGACATTACACAAGCCCTAGCCAGGGATTCTCCACCTAACTGCACGGCTCTGTTCAACGGTCAATGACTTTGATGAATTGATGCTAATCGTATCAAATGTTCACAAAATCAATAAAAGCTTAGATCTAAGGTTAACGTTTCATTTATTTTTCCAAACTGAGGTGAGTCAATGCATGCACACTGAAACGGATTGTTCCTTGATTTTTACTAATTCGTATGTTACGATAGTATGCATGAGATGGTTCTAATTTGAAAGACTGAATTAAAAGCATTGCTGGTAGACTGAATTAAGTGGTTTACTAACAAAGAGTTTTAAGTGACCCTCTGTTATATTGACAAATTATATTACATCATATTATAACCTACAATCGATGGCGAATTTATATTTTTTAAAAAGAGCAACAGCGAAAAAACGCCCATGGGTTTTGACTATTCTTTTAACCAGTGATAAGTATTCATAATGTATAGAGATGATTTTTTACCAATCCATTTAAGGATATTATCCAATTAATTTCAGTTGTTTAGTATCAATGCTGGAAGCAATATCATTGTTAGATTAATGATAGTACAACAAATATAACGTAACTTGTTGAAAAAAAACACAATTGTAAGTTATTAATCGTTATTTTGTGAGACTCACTAGTAGCATTGATCGATAAGCTTTTTGATCCTTGCCTACAAATCAGTTCACATGGGTGAAATGAATAAACAACCTATCCTACTCAACCATTATGAACTGACTGTTAGGTTTAGCACGTAAATTATTAAACGTAAATGAAATGATATTAGTTTGTTTTGAGAAAAATCTTAAGAAAACGATTTCGTTGAAAAGAAAATTTTCTTTGCTGAATTCTCTTTATTCTTACTCAATGACACAATGGGTTATTTTAATTGTTTGAAAAAGTATAAAGGTGGAGTCGATAGCCAATGCTAATGGTAATGATGAGTCATAATACGTGTGATATCAATAGGATAGTACAGTCTGCGATTACCATTCAATAAAAGACGAGAAACAGTAAAGTAAATATCCTAAACAAAATACTTATTGCAATCAAAATGCAGCATTAAAAAAAATTATTCACTCACTGACTCTGCCATATTCTGAAGATGTCATAAATCCATTCTAGCATTAGCATATTTTTATGGATTTCCCTTTTTCTATGTGAAATACCTTATTTGTTGGTAGATTGTTGTACCCTATTAGCTAATCTAGAATAACATTGTGTTCACCTATTCAAACCCTATTAATTGTTCTCTCTATCACGCATTATCTTATTAACGAATCGTTATTTGGTTTCTAGGTCATTGGACGAGGGACAGACAAGAATGCACTTAGGGAGGGCGATTAGAGCAACGAATCCATACAGCCTTGAAAACACCTGGTGAGAATATGAAAAACGATTATATGTGACCTAGCGAACAAACCGACATTTTTGTGACAGCTGAAAAACTTCATAATAGTTTTCGGAAACTTTTTTCTCTACTCAAATCGTATTTGTTTGCATACATGCTTCATTTTATACTTGTTGCTATTACTCATTAAAAAAATTCTATGTGAAATAAAATTTTTGCGGAATTTTCGACTAACTCGGTATATATATATATATATATATATATATATATATATATATATATATATATATATATATATAATCTAAACAAGATTGATAGTGAAGCTACCTTTCTCTCATGGATTTAAATGGCCATGTTCCAAGTAAAAATGTCAGCCAAGTTGATATACAAACTTAATTTGAAAGGCTGTACCAACAAGTCACTGACTTAAAACCTATAGATGAATATAGGAATGGTTGGTCTGAATCCAAACTGGTTGATATTGCGAACCAACATAGTTTTGAAAATCCACATTCAAGAATGTTGACGAAGGGACATATGTCAGCATTAAAGAAATTACAAAAGAATGATAAGACTATTATAATAAGACCAAATTGGAGCTTCAGGTATTGTAATGTTGAGTCGAAAAAATTATGTGCATAAAATGTCCCAAATCCTCAACGACACATCAAAACTTCAAGTTGGCAAATTTAGTAAACATGTCATCGGAACAATTGGAAACAGAATCGACAAACAAACCAAAGAACTTTTAAAAAAGGAACTGATGAATAATTCGACTTAAAACAACCTGCAGGCAAAAGAGTCAAGACTGTCTTCCACTCATGATCTCCCGAGAATCCCCAAGTCCAACATTCTAGAAACCTGTTAAAGTATGTTGTGCTAGAACAACTATTATGAAGGATTTCTACAAGGATTTTCTCCAATGAATTTTCATGCATATTCAAGGTATTGGTTTTGAAAATCCCTGAAATAGTAACATTAAAAGTAACATACAACTGACTTACTTCCTTAATTACTGACGCCTGTTACCCCTCGTGGAGGAGCATATGCCGTCCACCAGCATTCTCCATCCAAACATGTCCTGGACAATCCTTTCCAGTTGCTATTTATTCTATACATGTCTGATTCCAATTCCCAAAGTAGTATGTTCTTCAGCCTTCCTCATATTCATACGAAAGTTACACAAGTCTTGTTTTATGATGCATGCATTTGATTCATCACTCATGCATCAATTCAACCTTTAGATAAAATCAATGTTTTCCCTAAGCATACTTGGGAAACAATTAATGGTAAGTTTACAGAAGATTCCTCATATTTATCTCCTTTATTAGCGTAATCAAATCTAGCTAAAATTACCCTGATTCCATATTCGTATACACTCATTTTGGTGTATTTGAACAAACGAAATAACGCTTCTCGTTTCGGACGTTAACATATCTACCAAGGTTTGTTAAATAATAAATCTGTGTTTCATTACTTGCACTGTTGCGTGAAAATCGATATATAAGTTAGTATCACGTGTTCAAATAAGATATAACTGGTGGCCTGCATAAACATCTGAGCCACCTTTTCTTACCATCTAGATATTTCAACAAGTTATCTAATTTTGTTTATCTTAATATATCAGTATGGATATTAATCTCACAACCTATTCAGAAGTTACAAAAGGCCTATTCACAGACATCGTGGTTTCTGGGAATATGCAGAGAAAAGAATGCACATTATTCAGATGTCGTTTGACTGGATTACTAACTTCTAACTGGCAATCACTCAATATTTATCGTCAGGATCGACCAAGAATTAGGAAACGAAAACTTATTGAAATACTTTGTGCTGAGAATTTTATATTGTACTAAAAATATAATAGTGAATAAAGCTAATAATAATAATAATAATAATGAAGAGACAGTGAATAATCTGGGATGAATGTATTACAAGTCTTTTTAGAAAGCATATCTGTCGTCAACTTATGAGTTCGCCGCGTTATTGCAAGCAGATTTTTATAAAACAAAAGTATTTGCTTCTAGCAGGTGCTTTTTGTGATATGATAATGTAACCTTTTCTACTTCTAGTCTACTTCCAAAATATAATATATGGTTTCATAATTTTATTTATTCATTACCAGATGGCTAACTCCTATGCACATTTTCATGAAGCGACATATTTTGATAAGCTTTTGTTAGAGTGACTTGTTTTATCAGTATGCTAGACGGTGGGTTATTTTCACTTGTGAATAGTTTGTATTTTTCAAAAGTGTACTTGAAATATGTCCCCAAATGCCCTGGTAGGGCCCAGAGTGGGGATAATCCGCTCTCCCTCTCTAAATACTCGCACATGGCCATGCATAATATAGCCTCTACCAGGGAAGTCCTACTCACTGCCTTCTTGTGGCTGGGGTGTTGTTTACGAAATTGAGAGGACGAAGAGCGAATGTTCGGCGCTTTAACCAGGTTGGTGGACACGGAAAGTCCACCTAGGGGAGTTGAAAAACCCTGATTCCAAACCAATGGTGCACATGGGTTCCAGTATCCTAATGGAACAAATGGTGTATGAATCAATCGTTGGTCCCCGGCTACCATGGGACTGCATCTCCCTACGTTGCTCCACTACCTTGTGGATCAGATCTTAAGGTCAAAGGCTCCGGGTGTGGTCCCTTAAGAAAACCACCTGCTTCAGTTTGGGCGCCTGAACAGTATCACAGCCCTCACACAAATCAATTGAGAATTGTGCGGCGCATATATATTTGGTGCCGTTTGTACCAATATTTATGTGTTTTTATAAAATAAAATCAATAAAGTACTTGAAATATATGTCAAAAACGTCAAATAATAAGTCAGCTGTGAATAGTAAATCAAGTTAGTTGTATGAAGCTAATAACCTATACTTCAAGTGAATCGAATTATTCACTAGGAAAACATAAGCTTTACTGCAATATTTGTAGGCCTTATTAAGAATATTAGTTGTTTAATTGTTAATCATAACTTTGTTTCTCAAGGTAATGGTGCACGAGAATCTTAAATATAAATGTTTGTATTTATTCAACTTATTGAACCATAGATTTTCTTGTATATTACTAGTCTTTTATTGGTAACTGTCCAATTGACGTAGCAATGTAACCTTTCATTTTCTCATCCCATTACAGTAAATCAAAATGACGTTATTTCTTCTGTGTTATTTTACGCCTATCGTACATCCAGTAAGTTAATGAAATTTAGTTTTTGAATGCTAGAGATATTTTCAACCTCCTTAATTTTAAAAGAAAATAGTTATTATAAGTTTATTGGCGTACACAGCTCGAATTCTAGATGATTATCTAGCTGATTAATGACCTCAATTAAAGGTAGCAGGTTTCTGAATAGGTGATATGAGTATATCTGTGTCTATGTCTTTGCTTGAGTACAAATTAGCCTTTTGAAAGTTAACATTCGATTCAGAAAAAAGCACTATTAGAGTCTTAAAGTTTCATTCTGTTTGAGGATAACTAGAATGTTACTGAAATATATGTATGGAATGTTATCTGTCCGTTAGATTATTTTCATAACGTGCCGTTTATTCTGAGTCATCAGAGCTGATTGGTTAAGCCTTTGCTCTGTGTTTACTGCAGAATTGAATTGGCAGTGGAGCATTTAGAAGTCCACGCTACTTTATTTTTACTTATAAATTCACCAAATTTCTAGTTTCTTTTATGCAACCAAAATTTATCAGATGCTTGATGGAAGTTTTATAAAGTAGTCTCTTACTTTCATAATCACTTGAAAAATGACATGCACATACAATTTATGTCTTATGTTTTATTTTCTTAAGTTTCAGTAAAAGAAAGAAAACTAACCATAAATGTCTCACCATTGTTCCCAAGGTTTTATAAGTAGTGTGAGCTGAAAGCATGTATCAAAAGTAGATAAACATCACACGGTATATTTCACTTTACTTAAACTCATTGAAATTTAGAATTAGCTTTTTTTCAACGAATATTAAGGAGTGTTTTACAAAAATAATGCTATTGGTGACTTTATGTAAAAATTCAGGTAACATATACATCGACCAAGAAATAGTAAAACCTTAAAGTCCTCTGACAAAATTTAGGCAATAGTATAGTAAATGTTCAGTTCGCATTGGAATACCCGTGTTGTATGAAAAATCAAAACGCAAGACAAATATTAAATATGGTAATCCAGTGCATGTACACGGAAGATTTACCAACCTGATTTTAAAATGGTTTCTATTTACGCAGAAAAATATCTAACATATGGATGAACCTAATTGGAATTCATTTCACTTTATATCATTCACTTATTTATCAAATTAAATCGTCTATATAGAGGTGTTCAATAGGAAGATAAGAAAATGATGGACACTCAAAAAGTGTACAGAAAATAGAATTGGGCTACAATGATTTCAGCTCAGTGAGGTCACAATATTTCTCAGTATATCCATACTATTACTCGACTAGGAGGCCTTCTGGAGCTACTGCTCTTCCCAAGAACGTGTACAGGGGTAGGGTTTGGTGTAGAATTAGCAACCTCACCTTGTAAAAAGGGGATTCACTGCAAAACGCGAAGCAGAGAAACATTAAACTCTGATCTGGGAGTTGAAGGGTCTTCATATAAACAGTTCTGATACTTCAAGATGAAAGTCGGGATTCTCGCAAAGCCACGAGGCCGATGCCTCTTCCGAAAAACAGTGCAAAAACCATTATAGGAACAAGGATTATCTACGCAATGTGGAAGACTCAGAGAACCATACAAACGGCGAAAATAAGAAGGTATAATCTTGTGTTGTTTTAAATAAATGAATCCTATTAGATATAATGTGGACAAAAAAGACTTATTTCAGGAGAGATGATGTTGTATTTCGATCACGAAGAAAGTGCCCCACATAGACAACGACTTGCACTGACATCGTCCAAAAAACACAAAAGCTCTTATAGGATAGAAAACCAACGGCATCAGGATCATCATGACACTCTTCGAAACAGCGGCGAGTATCACAAAGACCATCTTTATAAGGGGCTGTAGTCTATCTTATAGAAATTCCCAGGAAGACACCTGAACATTTTGATAGGATGCTTGAGCGTCAAGATCGGGATGGAAAATACCTAGTATGAAGACATTATGGAGTGACATGGACTAGGAGAAAGGAACTAGAATGGTCAGAAACTGGTAGATCTGTGCACTCTCAGAAAAATGGTTATAGGTGACAGCGCTTTCCCCCACAAATGCATACATAAAGCTAAATAGGTTTCACTGGACTACACTACAGAAAATCAGCTGATTACATCTGTGTAAATAAAAAAAACTCAGTGGGTCCACTGGAGATGTAGGAACAAACAGGAGGTGACATAGCTTCAGATAGTCACCTGTCGGTGACGAAGCTAAAACTGAAGCTAAAGTAGCATTGGACAAATGGACAAGCAACACCACACAAGTTTGATGCAACCTTCCTTTGAAATGTTTACAAGACCAATTAATTCAAGATAGCTGCTCACTCTAATACGGCTATACGATAATAAAACTGGTCTGGATGACCGCATTTATAATACATCTAGATTGAATACTCCAAAGATCCGCTATACAAAGGCCATATCGCGTTATGCCAGATACTTGATTCACGACTAAATTTAGAGCCAGAGTAATGTTAGATAATACTTTATTTCACACAATTACAAGCGGTCACTTCTAGTGAGTTAGGAACAAAAATCAATAAGCAGAAAGAAAATCCCATATTTTATAGTAAGTTAAGTGCCTATTTCTTCACACTCACTGACCAATCACATTTACTTTTACTACCACACATCAACACTACGCAAGTTAAATACAGACATTCTTCCAGATGCTAACAAACTCAGTAAATTCAATATAGATCTCATAGTAAGCTCTAAGTCCTACGACATCTTTTGGAAGATGTTACTCCACCAACAACAGGAAAAACCAGTGAAGCCATGGGACAAGTGAAGAGGGGCAAAGCAGTAGGACGAAACACAATAACAGTTGAAGAATTGAAGTCATATACGATGGTAACTGCAAAGGTGTTCCATGATTTGTGTTATAACGTATGCCCTGAGCAGTCTTGGGTGCTATTCGGTCCTTCCTATCTGCCTAGCCCAGCCAGTTAAGTCCAGAACACAAATAACAGCCTCGGCAATATGAATCATTATTTACAAACATACTGAGTTTTTATACAAAGCAAAGTAATCAATACACTGATTATAACTCAAGAATCGTATGATCATAAATCAAAGATCAAAATAATAGAAAACACGAATATGAATAATTTAGTTACGTAACAACTGTACAATAAGAAATAGGCATAATACATTGGTCGATAATAGACCTCAGATTTACGATTCATAATTCACCAGGGGATATAACACCTCCCCTTTTTGAGAAATCCGGAGTCGACATCCGGATTTTTAATTTCTCGAATTCATCCTCCCCCACGAAAGACTGTTGGATCCTCATGTACCCAAGTTACCGTTATTGTGACATTATTTAAAACATATTCGTCGTATTTAGCTGAGAATCCACGAGAACTTATTAGATCGTGAGGATCGACTACATTCGATTTGAGGTCACCAGCGTCTGATTCTTCTGAAACAGTTTCCTTGAATTTACTCGGAACCTCATTAGTAAATAATGAATCATTAGGATAATCAGTATCTATGAAATTTGTATTGGATTCTTGATTATCATTTAATGCATCCGATATTTTTCTCCCATTTTTATAAGAGATTTGAACTGGAACATATGAATCAGTAAAATAATCGGGATCTGGCAGAACAATTAGATAATTTTGATCATTAGATTCATTAGAAAAATTTTCCGTATCATGAATAATTTCATTTGGCGCCTCTGCATTCAATATACTGCTCGATTTGCTTCCCATTTCTTCGTGGGCGGGTACTGCAGCAATTTCATGAGCATTTGACATGGCATCATGTTGCTGAGAGCTGGGAGCATCACTGTTCGGACCTGCTAATTCAGGGATAGTGGTGTTTGAATCCACTACCGGGCACGTTTCTGAAACAGGCAGCACCGGACTACTGGGCTGATCATGTAGGACTGTTACTGCTGCATCTAAATTACTGTTTTTCGCGGATTCATAGAGGCTTTCCTCTGCATATTCATTTGTTCTGTAATCGACTTCCAGTTCCGTACGCAATTTAGAAATCAATGCGTCAACTTCCGTTGCACCCCCAAAGCATGGGTGATTCAGCAGCGTCGCGTGTAACTTGTCAATGAAATCCAACTGACTCTTTTTAAAACGCTGCTCTTGTCTCTGAATTAGCAACTGAAATTGATCGGAAGTTAAAGCCATTTTTTTACCCTGTCGTCAGTTGTTATATCGTATGGGCCCGTAATTTATATGAACGCCAATTTAGAGAGGAGTGAATTTATTGATCGGACGCAAATGATACTTGAAATCGTACGATGCAGTCTTGATTGCTGTATTTTTTTTCCAGAATCCCCGTCGAAAACTGTATACTTTTTTCTTTTGCGTACCAAAATCCCCGTCGCCACTGTTATAACGTATGCGTCCGTAATATATATATGAACGTGCAATTAGAGAGGAGTGGATTTTACTGATCGAATGCAAATGATACTTGAAATAGTACGAACAGTATTGGGTTGCTGTATTTTTTTCCAGAATCCCCGTCGAAAACTGTATACTTTTTTCTTTTGCGTACCAAAATCCCCGTCGCCACTGTTATAACGTATGCCCTGAGCAGTCTTGGGTGCTATTCGGTCCTTCCTATCTGCCTAGCCCAGCCAGTTAAGTCCAGAACACAAATAACAGCCTCGGCAATATGAATCATTATTTACAAACATACTGAGTTTTTATACAAAGCAAAGTAATCAATACACTGATTATAACTCAAGAATCGTATGATCATAAATCAAAGATCAAAATAATAGAAAACACGAATATGAATAATTTAGTTACGTAACAACTGTACAATAAGAAATAGGCATAATACATTGGTCGATAATAGACCTCAGATTTACGATTCATAATTCACCAGGGGATATAACAATTTGTTTAATATCAGCTGGTAGTAAATACTGAGCTAATATAGATCAAGAACACGAACACCTATACAATATGAGAAGGGGTGGTAAAAGTTTATCTATTATCCCTAAATATTGAATCATATACAAAGTTCTATTAACTTATAGTGGTCTAGTTGGACCATATTGCCTACGTATTGTAAATCAGTATAGAAATCTCGAGAGACTGATAAATTCTTCAGGTATTGAAAAAAGACAGTTGTCTCTACTAGAATGTGTCTGAAAAAGTAGGACGAAAATGACGTATTCAGAAACCTCTTGACGAACGTCTTTTTTCAGATATCAATCATATAGGCTATGGAGTGAATAAGTCACTTGATATCAATAATTTGTTCAGAGTTATTTGGATACTAAAATTAATCACTAAAATACCTAAAATGAGGATCTCACCTTTACATTAACATATGGAAAGATGGAATCCTAGACGCTAAGGGGGCTTACAAATCACTTCTCATGTATTACAAAGTAAATATTCACTCAATTTATTTTATACTTCAGACATTTAGCATCAAAGTAATCAGCTTATGAATCCTTTAGGATTTGTTAGGCTAAATAAACATGTATCAGCGTATTTGAGTAAACCAGTTCATTTGGTTTTACTTTTGTTAATCTGCCGTCAATTCAACTATTCCTTTGTAGACACACAATTGATTGTATATGAACGAACATTTAAAGTGAATATTTGGACCTGATTACATTAACTGGAAACAGAGGTTTATCATCATTATTCTACAAAAATATAGGTAAGGTCAAAGTTTAGGAATTTGAAGACTCTTCTTCTATGAACTAAATCATTGTCACCATCATAATCAGTTTATTTAAGGAGAGGGATAAGTATAGGTGAATGCAAATGTTCGATAATACAGTGATTGAAATAGCAAAAAGATATTGGAGATTCGGGACTTGGACTTGTCAGGACTCAGCTGACGTAAATCACTACTTCGAAAGAATTCAATTTTGTTAATTTCATTATTCACTAGATAGAATTTTTAAGTCAAAATTTAGTTAACCTAAATTGATTTATTCAATTTTAGAAGTACTACAGTAAAATACCAGCTGTTATTTTGTGACTAATGTGTGTTATTAAAATTTAGTTCCTCACTATAAAAACTTTTTGTTCTTATGTACTGATTTTGAGAAAAGGACGGAAAATTAATAATCGTTTATTTCACACAGATAATAGGTTTTTAAATTGATTTTAAGTGTGATTTATATACATGTGAGCAACAGATTGTATAAACACATAGTCATATCTATTGAGTGCACATATCATGTGACATATTTCTGAGTATAAGTAGAAACCCAAAATAAGCGTGAAACAAAGATAACCATTAAAGTATTTAACGAAATTCCATCAGCTATTTATTGATGATCAGGAATTGTAGTGAAACAGGAATAGTAACCGTGTTACAATGACACCAAAATAGCGAAGCTACAGAGGAGCTGTTGTGAACACTTTACTTTTCTATTAAATATTTCGTTTTTATGACCATGTAAACTGAAATATTGATTAATTTCTTAATGATCTGCTGGAACTTCAAGTTTTAGACGTCGTCAAAATATGATAAGAAGTCAGGCATTTAAAAGTGGTTGTTGCTTTCAGAAAACTTCTAATACCATGTTGATCATGTACATTTACAAACGATACTCTTAAGTGTCGAAATCTTCCAGTAGTATTTAGCTCCCAAGTGTAGTGAAAAAGCTATTCTAATTTAAACATTGTCCCACAAGATTTCTGAGTTATCTTGGTTTATAATCAATGGAAAATTATTCAAGAATTATAAATTCGTAGTTAGCATTCATCGTAGTTATGTTAAATGACTACCCCCGTCAAGTGGTTATTGACAAACGTGCTTTATTACTGTTTGCTGGCATCTGCATTTTACTGTTTGTATTTCATTCCATTACTGTGAATTTCTACTTCAATTCAAATAAACTGATGTATATTCAAATTACAAAGCATCAGGTTCAGGAAATACACCTTTCTTTTTTAATCAAGTTAAACAGTTTTTTTCCACACACACTGACATACTACTTCCCATGACTACTTTTGGAACCAAAATTAAGTCCCTACAGAAGAATTAGGTTATCTTTCAGCATACTATCCGAAACATTATTATGCGTAACAATAGAGCTACCAGATATATATACATATAAAGAGGGGCAATGAAGTGAGTAATAACATTTTTAATGCCTGATTTTGTATTTTAAATACAATACGTTTGTCTGTGCTCACATAATTCTGTCTGATTCAAATTGTGTTATTTTGAGGATTCCTAGTTTGTATAACAATTCAAATACTTCTAATTATCACAGTCTACTTTCAACAAATATTGTAAAATTATTTATCACTACATTTATAGGATTATTGTTTGTTGCTGAAAATTAATAAATATATACTATCTGAAAGTTGTTTTCATTATTAAGTGGAATCAGACTGATAACATTTTATCCCGAGTTCACAAGAACTATTAGTTGACTAACTATACTCTTGACAGAGAAAATTTTATAAATTATATAATCTCGTAACATGAGCACGTATAGTAGGGTTATGCGCACTTTTGATACTCATAAATCAAGGTCCTAATAACTGTCTCAACTTCTCGTTTGATATTATCTCATAAATATATTGTCATTCACCTGAACTGATATAGCAGACGTAGTTTGAGTACATACAATCTGATTTCACTATTCGGTAAACCTAATAGTTAGAGCCCCTAGATGAATCTTCGAAAATGTTTTGCTGTACTGTAACTGTGATTCAGTGATTAAAGATTTAATCATATGTGAATAGTCCAGAATATACAAGAATAGTTCGGTCAGTTTCAGATTTGTATACAATTATTTAGATGTTTAGGTGGTTTTAACCACCGGGCGGATAAATAGTGGTTTACTAAGAAGTTTGCATGGACTTACAAATATTATAAATCATTTATCATCAAGGAGTAATATTGTAGCTTCATAAAAACGAGATGAGGTCTTAATAATAAAATGAAGCGAATTAAAACATTTGACGCAGTTGGGAGTCCTTTTCAGTCAAATCCATCAATAAAAACAAAAGTAGTTTTAAGAAACTATGTAGCATTTTTAATCAGTAACTTTAGTTTTTCACGGAGTTATGTAAAATACAAAAAGCACCATCTTTTTATACTGAAAACTCATTAGGGTGCATTTAACTGTATTTATCCTAATTTTAAGTTTATTTATTCTTTTTAACTCTTCAAAGAACTAGTATATCATATTGGAAATAAAGGATACCACTTAATTTCCAATGTTACCAAGTTTTCAGTATTTACATTTTCATGTAGCTAGCTATCTTACAAAATGAGTACCCCTGATGATAATTTGAATGCTTACTTCCAAACACTTAACAAAATGTAGATTGATAATATAAGGTTTCGGAACTTGTTGAATTTTATTAAAATCGCAAAGGGTTAAAGGTTAGACAATTATGATTGGTGACCAGTGGAGCTAAATCGTATCGGGTGTGAGGTAGGTACCCACCGAAGATAACGGAAGATAGTTGTACACTATTGTGAACTGACTAAAGTTAGACTCATACGCTGCGAAGTCCCGGTTCAGTGGTCTAAGGATTGACCATTCATGAGCACGACCGGAGCCCCTAGGTTCAGCTCCCACTAGTGGGGCAGTGGATGACCACTTCCGAGGAGTCATGTATTTGGACGAAACCGTCGTCTTGTGCCTCTAGGTTTTCAGTGGTTGTCTAATTTTGATCCATTCGTGATGTGAATAAGAATTTATAGTCTTGTGTAATTCAGTAAGTTGACTACTTATAACAAATAAGCAACATAAAGATATGTATTTTTATGTGGACATTCAACAAAATAAACCGATTCGGTAATCAGTCCTACTGTGGAGTTAGTTAGGGTAGATTTTGTTGTACTATTTGGTACATATACTATGAGTACCTGTAAAATTGTTGTTTAACAACTCATGACCTTAGATTATCCGTTTTCGTTTTGAATCCCCCCTGGCATGACACACTGATTATCGCTCACAAAAAGCACTGTTACACACATATGCCTCTTGTTCTCAATTACTTGCTGTTATGATAACAGAACTCTAGTGTATTTGCTATCTATGTTTACAGATCACAGTGATATTCTCATTATATGCTTTATCCGGATATAGATATCGAACTATAACAACCGTGATTGGAATTATTAACTACTTATATATGTGGATTACCGGACCAAAAAGAACTCAAACATGCCAAATCCTAACAACTTAAGTAACGTCCCGTATATTTTTCTTGCGTGTGTAGTGCAGTGCTTCGTTAATCATTGACCTCGATAACCGTTATAGTACAAATCTTAATGGTGCATAAAATCAGAGGGCAAAGATAAGCGGCAGCTACAGTTTTGTTGACAAATGACGCAGGCCAGAAACTTATAAGCACATGAGTAAATATCAGCGAGCGAGACAAAAATGACACGTATTGGAGATGGTGGGTGAGCTAACTTACTTTAATCAAGCGCTAATCAATATTTATAGTCAGACAAGAATAAGTTACGAATATGTGGTGAATGAGATAAAAAGTGTACACACATACGCTCGTATAAAAAATAGTCAGGGTTAATAAGTGAATAATTAACAAGGTCAAAACGGGACTCATGATGGACAGGTTAAATTGACTTGTTCAGAAGCTAGAATTAGGTATACGGGCTTAACATATCAACCGACACTACACGTGTATAGATTATATTTCATATATTAATAGGTTA